ATCAACAATCCTGATAAAGGGTCCCGACCTGAAATGTCAACTTTTCTGCTCCTTGGATGCTGTCTGACCTGCTGTGCTACTCCAGCTCCACATTTCATCGACTATCAGCAATAGAGGTTCTCAACATAGCATCCCAACACTTTAAGTGAGATCATGTCATCTCAGGGTAGATGGTTAGTCTAGACTCAAACATCTGAAACTGAATCTTGGGCCTTATCTACATTGTCAGAGTGAGATTTTCACGTCAATTACACTGCCACAGGCAACTTGGCCCGTGAGCCAAATTAACAGTCATAATGCTAACAACAGGCACAGTTGGAGGCAAGGGGAACTGGGAGGGGATCATATCAGATAATAGGTCCATAAGAGTCTTTAATAGTGGGGCCAATAACTTAACAGATTTGGCATAGGCTGTCCCACTGCTAAATTAACATGTAGAGCCCATTGCAAGCCTGAAAAATAAGTACACATTTAGTCTTTTTTACCCTTGTCACCACCAAGGAAACGAGTAAAGGAATCACCTTTCAATCATTGTGCATGCTATACATTCAGACATAGTGTGATCTAGAATAATGTTGGTGCAAAGCAGATTTTGTGAACTGAGAGTTAGTGATGGATGTTCACTTATGTTCATATGATCAACTGAGAAAAGGAAGTTATTTTTGTTCATGAAAGAAAGACTGAGTTTCACAACAAAGTTTAGAGATATTAACCTCTTCTTGACCTCAAAATACAGTTTAGCAAATATTAAGTTTAAAAATCATTGTTTTTTTGTTTTTATATTTCACTTTAAATCTTGCATTGATATCTGAACAGGCATTGTTTTCCATTGCTTAATCTCAAACTATTTTTAATACATTAACAGAACAGAGCTGCAAGGGACAACATTGGAAGGAAAAACTTGAAAGCAGAATACAGGGTTAATGGAAAGATTCTTAGCAGTGTGGAGGAGCAGAGGGATCTTGGGGTTCATGTCCACAGTTCCCTGAAAGCTGCCACCCAGGTGGATAGAGTTGTTAACTTGTGTATTAGCTTTCATTAATAGAGGGATTGAGTTCAAAAGCCATGAAGTTATGCTCCAGCCATACAAAAGCCTGGTTCGGCCATATCTGGAGTATTGTGTCCAGTTCTGGTCGCCTCATTACAGGATAGATGTGGAAGTGTTGGAAAAGGTGCAGAGGAGATTTACCAGGATGTTGCCTGGAATGGAGGGAAGGTCTTACGAAGAAAGGTTGACAGAGCTAGGGCTTTTCTCTTTAGAACGACGAAGGATGAGAGGTGACGTGATAGAGGTGTACAAAATGATCAGAGGTATAAATAGAGTAGACAGCCAGAGACTTTTTCCTAGGGTGGAGGTAGCTATTACGAGGGGGCATATTTTAAAGTGAGTGGAGGTAGATATAGGGGAGACGTCAGAGGTAGGTTCTTTACTCAGAGAGTGGTTGGGGCGTGGAATGCATTGCCGGAGAGGGTAGTGAAGTCGGCCTCATTAGGGGCATTTAAGCAGCTATTAAATAGGCATATGGATGATAGTATAAGGTAGGGGTGGAGGTTAGATAGACCTTAGGATTAGGGTAAAAGTTCGGCACAACATCGTGGGCCGAAGGGCCTGTACTGTGCTGTATTGTTCTATGTTAACATGCACAAATTACGAATTTACAACCAAGAATTCATACAATTTTATTGCCTTCCTTTAAAATGTCTGAAGTAATTTTATTCACAGAATGGAATAGATACTTGTTTATGAATGATGCTGAATATTATAAGAACCTTTAACAGATGCCTGCCATTGGTGGTTCGATATATTGGAAAGCCATTTTTGCATTGGTCCTTACTTTCAGTCCTTTCACTTTGATAGATAAAAATTATGTGCATCTGTCAATGTTCACATTGTGTGTGGGGTTTATGGATAGGGCTCCTCAGCCACAGTATAAGTTTATAAAAATTGTCCTTACGTTTTAACAACGATGATCAAGTGTAACACAAATGTGCTGTTACTTTGTCTTTGTGACCTTGGGCCAATTATTGTGTATGTGAGTTTTGTTTAAGTGCAGTTCCCCTGTATTATGCCAAATCTCATGTTTGTGCAGTGCTGCTGAATTCTGTCACACGTGCATACTTGTATGCATCACCTATTCATTTCTGCGTTTTTGCTAATACTGACACATCTACAATGCTGCAGTGTTTTGAATCTGGTAAATGTACAATGCTGCAGATGCCTATTAATAAACTTGAAATCCAACCATAAACTAGGGAATTTAAATTCAATTGATAAAGCAAATCTAGAATAAAAAAAACTGTTGTATGTAATGATGACTATAAAAGTAAAGGATTTTCAATCTGTTTTCTCAAACTCTGTGTGGTATATGTGTGTCCAGATCAACAGCAAAGTGTTTGACTCTAAATTGTCCTTTAAAATAACCTAGCAAGCCTTTCAGTAGTATTCAAAGTGAAGGCACTCCACCAATTTCTCAAAGGCGATTGGGGATGGACAATAAAGTGATGCCCATCTCTGAATAAATTTTAAAAATGTGCCATGCTGCATTGTTAGAGAATATGGCACATGTTTGCACCCAGCAAACTGAGTTATATTACAAGACCACTAGAAGAGTTCCCATATAAATGGGGTATAAATCAAATCAGTCAATTTAGATCATAGAATAGAATCCCTACAGTTTGGAAACAGGCCCTTTGGCCCAACAAGTCCACACCGACCCTCAGAGCATCCCATTCCAAACCCATCCCTCACCGAATCTACACATCCCTGAACACTATGGAGCAATTTAGCATGGCCAATCCACCTAACCCGCACATCATTGGACCGTGGGAGGAAACCAGAGCACCCGGAGGAAACCTACGCAGACACGGGGAGAATGTGCAAACTCCACACGGACAGTCGCCTGAGGGTGGAATCAAACCCAGGTCCCTGGCGCTGTGAGGCAGGAGTGCTAACCACTGAGTCACCGTACCATTTACAAGCTGTATATGAAAAATGAAATTGTGTAATATTTCATTCATAGAATATGTTTAACGAACATTACATCGAGTTATCAAAGCACTCGTACATGTCACAAATGTGTAATGCCGGTCATTGGCAACAATGTTTTGTCTTTGCTGCGCGGATGTAGGTCTCCGGGATAATCTGTAACATACTGCACAAGGAATAAACAGGCTCTGCAAAATGTAGCAATCTTAAAGGGGCTGCATAGTGCAACGGGTTAGCCATGCACAGCTAAGAGAGGTAGAAGGGACATTGATCACACCTAAGAAACCAACAATAAGCAGGTCCAGTTCCAGCCTCCAGGTCATGATTAGGAAGGATAAAGAGAAAATACTGTCCGAAGAAATATCTGCCTCATCATGAGTCCCCCTTTAAACTCTTATATTCTCCATCATCATTGCGTACTCCGTATGAGCTTGATTTGAGTATTAAATGTTAAATCTATAAAAAGAACTGTGTATCAAGTACAGTGACTCTAAGAGTGAAACAAAGCTTCAATTGAATGAGATAACAGGCTACATTCTTGCTTCAAAGCACCGAGTTTCCAAACGTCAGTAAACAAGGCAATATCGCAGGCATTATTCTTAGCATCCTGTTCTACAATTGACACTGTCGGAAACACTATGAGTAGGTTTCCTCCAGAAGTGCGGGCAGAGAGGGTAAAATAGCAGCTGCAATTATAGACCTTGCATTTACATAGCCCATCTACAGTAGAAAACATTGCGAAACTCCTTTCCGAGAAGCAACAGATTATACAACAGGCCAGAGTCAGAGCTATGGGGAAGCTAGAGGGGTTATCTCAGTCCTTATGGAGATTATAGTAACAGGGAGTAGCAAAGCTATTAAGTAATTTAAACACAAGAAAGAGAATCTGAAATTTGAGGTTACCAATTTTTTTCCAACTGTGAGATCCCATTTTAAGACTTCAAATCTGGCCGTGATGCCAGATTGGAAGAAAGGTGGGTGGGGGCTGGGAGACTGTGAGAGCGAGCGGCTATTTGCACTGCAGAGTTTGAATAAATAAGTGTTTTTGAAGCAATAATCAGCCCTCCGATATAAAGCAGTTAGGTTATGCCACCATTTTAAAAAACCACGAGGATTTAAAGGGGCCTGTCAACTGTTAACACTCGGAGGAGCTCACCACCTTAACTTACAGGTTGGCACATTGGGACTTGCTGAGAGTGTAGGTCAGCGATGGCAAGGCTGATGTGTGAGGACTGGGTGTAGATGGGAGACAGTTAGTAAAATATCCACAAGCTGAAGTTTATGGGGAACTGGGGAAGGTGAGTGATATGGATTGAAAATAGGATGCCAACTGAGGGGGAGCAATGGAATGGCTGAATCTGAAGGTGATAAAAACAGGAAAAAAAGCTTCAGCAATTAGTGCTGCCTATCCTAGCATCATCAAAAGACAACTATAAAGTTTCAGATGATGTTTAAAATCAGTAAAACTCCTGTCAAAATGTGGGTTGTAATCCTCAGATTCAAATAATTTTATATTGTAGATTCTAATTCCTTTTTTAACTAAGTAACTGCCATGTTACACACTTCTTTTGCATTTTGTCAACCTATTACCTCATTGTCTTTCTCTCTATTTAATTCAAGCTTCAAATGTTAATGCGTTAATGTTTGTACTTTGGCCAATTAGCTGAGTTAGAACCAAGTTGAAGTTCACATCTTGCTGGATGATATTACAGTGCAACGTCCCCATCAGTCTTTTATCAATCTCTGAAACTCTCATTCACACATTTCACTCACTCTGTCAAATGCACTCTCTTGTTACCGTGCTTGTGCCTTCCTTATTCCAAGAACACTTGGAATTCCCTCATTCCCTTAATTGTATTGACTCGTTCTGGTTCATACAACTTCCTGCCTGAGCAGTTCAGATTTCATTACATAAGCATCATTGTGCTGTTCTTTGAAAGTCCAATATAAAGTTGCATGTTTGAAAGTACTGTGGCTTTAAGGTTTGCTCAGTTCTGTTTCTTTACTAAAACAGAAATCTCCTGCGGCTTACCGAACGTCATGTCAGTAGGATCACCCTCCTCCCCAGGCGGGCCCAATGGTATCATTAGAAGCCAGTCTTTCGCAGGCTTCAGCACCCAGCAAGAAAGAAGATCTAGGTAGGTGCATGGACATGATCTAAGTATTGGTTTGCAATAAATCTTCATATTTAAACATGTACAGATAGCACCATTCCTTCACACTAATCGCTTCCATAGAACTTGGTTCAGAGGTCTCTGTCAACTGGTTATATTTCTGCAAAGGAGTATTAGCAGCTAGAAGGCAGACTTTCCCAAGTTGGTCTTGAAATAAGTGTGAAACAGAAATGATTTGAGCCGAGCAAGTTCACCATGGTTTCAAGCAGTTGACTTGTTTTTAGTGCTCCTTGTGTACCGAGGGCTGTAAGTATTTTGATTTCATAGAATCACAGAAGAGTTCATTACGCCAGTGATGCCCGTGCTGGCTCTTTTAAACAGCAGTTGTGCTTAGCCTCATGCCCTGGCTTTTATTCCATAGCTTTGCTGATTCCTCATCCTCAATCACCTGCACCCAACTCCCTTTTGAAAGATTTTATGCAAATCCCCACCACCTTTGCAGGTAGAGTCTTTCTGATCCCAATCAATCTGAGTGAAAATAGTTTGCCTCACCTCTGCTTTTTTGCCAATGATTGGAATCTATAATTTCTGGTTTGCCACTCACTCACCAGAGGGATTGTTTAATTTTTGCTCAATTCTATCAAAGCATTTCATCATTTTGAAAACCGCGGCTACATTACCTCTTGACCAGCTCAGTTCCAAAGAGAACAATCCAAACTTTTGCATTCTGTCCTCACAATCGAATATCCCCATCCCCAGTGGTATCCTGGTAAATGTTCTCTACCTGCTTTATAAAGTTTGAACAGGTAGAATCTTCCATTGGGATTGGAAATAGAGAGGTCCATACTGCCTCTTCCATGGAAGGCGCACCATACCTTCTGACGGGCCTTCGTTTGAAATTAGGAGGTGGGGTCAGAAAACTTGAGTGTTGAACATTGCCAGCTAGAGGCCATGAGCTCATGTGAATAGCAACACCACAGAGGAAACCATCTTAGAGTAGACCTAGAGTCCCAGGACTAAGATTGGTGATGTTGGGGGTTGGCGCAGGATGGAGTTGTGACTCTCAGCAGTCACCTCTCCCCACCAGATGTCGTTGCCCTCAATCAGGCACTGATTGCCAAAGAGTATGGGCCTTCCCTACAAGGAATACTGCAATTTGGGAGATGCATCTGCTGGGTTCATCCCAGTGCAATGGACAAAGTCCTTAAATGGCCCTTAATTAAGGGCCTCAGTTGTCAGCTGGATGGGAAGCTTGACTGTAGAGATTTACACCCAGAATCTAATTATCACCAAGATAGGTAAAAGATCAAGAATGCTGTCTCAGTAAATATCATTTCCATCTCCTACCGTCTCAAATACCACCACTGGGAGCAGATCTTCCCTGCCCATCTCTTTCCTGAAGGGTGGTATGCAGAATTATTCACAACATGCCAGCAGAGGCAGGAAACCTTTGCATTACCTGAGTGCTTTTGTATTCTGTACCTTGACTTATGAACCCAAATAATAAGGGGCAGGATTTGTCATATCACAAGGTTACCTGTCTACCACCCAATAAGTTTGAGTGGAACATGCCCCCTGCAGTTATTGGTTGCCTTGCAACCATTTGGCACTCGGCTGGTTAATTGGCATCTCCCACTAGGGGGGTGCTCCATCTTTGAGAGCTGGAGGTGACAGCATCCAGTTAAAGGCAGCCATAACGTTATGGTGAATAGAGCCTTCAGTGGGCACAGACGACCACCAAAGGAGGGTACCAGCCTGTGTAGTTAAAGCTACTGAGATAGCAGCTTGGTGTGGGCTACCCCCACGCAGGGGAAATTTATAAAATGAGACAGGGTGAAACACTTAAGAACAGCCATTGAGGCCATGTGAGTGTCTCAATAGGCCTCAAGTAAGCAGGCTGTTTAGCACTTACCCTGAAATCCACAAAATAGGTGATAGATTGGGGGAGGTGCATAGGTGGTAGGTAGGCCAATGTGCAAGTGTTTGCAAACATACACACATCATCCCTGACCCAGGCATGCGCATGCACACGCACGTGCACACACACACACTCATACACATACACGCACGCGCACACACACACACACACACACACACAAGCACACACAGATACAGACACAAACAAACGCTGTTTGGTGAAGGATTGTAAAACTGTACCAATGCTTTTTTAACCACCTTGTCAACTTGCCCTGCTACCTTTAAGAATATGTGTGTATGGACACCAACATCTATTTTTCATCTACAAATGAAAATTGTGATATTTAATGTATATTCTCTTTCTATTTTTATCCTCCCCCAAGTGCTTCATTTCACACCTCTCTTCATTGAAGATAATCTGCCGTACTTCAGCCCATTTCCCCATCCGCATCCCTTGAAGCCTATAAATATCATCACCATTATCTTCAGATGACCAAGTGCCACAGGAGATTATGATTCACCAGGCAGATGGCCACAGAGATTTTTGCCCTTGTCACACCTCACAGAGCTACTCACCATGCTCTGCCAATAGCATTAAAAAGTCACCATGACCTTGAGTTCCTTTGTTTCTGGCTTCTTCCAAAGGTCAGCTGCGTGGCATCTCACAACGTCTGCACAGCGTTACATATCACTGATCTTTGATGCTCTTTGTTAGAGCTGGACAGTACATATGATTGCAGACAGAAACATAGCCTCCCAGACACAAAAGGCAGAGGCTTTCACTGCCAGCTGCAGAGCATCATAGATTGCACCCATGTGACCATCAAGGCACAATATGAACAGCTAGTGAGACGCATCAGCAGGAAGATCTTCCGCTTTCAATGTTTCTTGGTGTAAGACCACAGCATGAGCTTCTTCCACATGTCTACTTGCTTTCCTGGTGGTTTCCATGACTCCTTCATCCTCCTCCAGAGCAGGTTGTTGTAACACTTCACTCCAAACTCTCTGGATCGATCTAGGGGGTCATCTGATTTAGAAGAGTCCATCTGACCTAGGAGGAGTGACATGATCTGGAGCCCTCAGAAATGCCTGTTGAAGATAGAGCCTGGAATATGTAAACTCTTATAGCAATGAAGAATCACAGTCACCATTGCTGTTGTCTTGTTGTCCTTTACCATGTCACACCTATTTTGTTATTTCACTTTAATGAGCGTGTCGCCAGGATACCTCTACTTGTTCCTGTGCACTGTTTTCCTTGGGACCTGGATCGGAATTCCTAGCCATGTCAGCGAGGTGGTGGCAGCAGAGCCGGAGATACCTGGGGCATTGGCTGGACCCAGAACAGGGGCTCATTGCGGCCTAGAGACCAGAACACCTTACAGAAACCCTGGATACCTTAATGAATGATTTTATTGTCACGTGTTTTGTCACTAAATGTGACTAAATTTGGATTACAAAATTAATAAGAAGAAATTTCTTAAATTGAGCTTCATCTTCTGTTCAATTGACAGAAAAAATAAGTGCTTGACACGAAGTTGAATGTGATTTTTTTTCCCGCCTTTATATTTTTCCCAAATGCACATGACAATAAAATCTTTCATTCATTTATACGCACCAAGTAAATGTTGACAGTTGAAGCCAGAAATGTAAGCTGACTCAAAATACTGTGGATGCTGGAAATCTGAGAAGATCAAATAGCTTCTAGGGAAGAATGCAAGAAATACAGATAGTTTGAGTGTTTTCATAGAGTGCTATGTTCATCTGTTTCAGAACAGGAGGAAAACCTAATCACATGTATGCATGTGCGCAATGTGAATGGTATTTAAGAGATTCACTCCTAGAAAAATGATTTTGCTCCCAGAGTTGGTTTATTGTCCAAGGACTGTTTTTGGAGCTTTTACGTCTGATAGAGCTCAATGTTCCGAGCACACAAAATGCCAGCAGTAGACAACATGCATAATCGAGAACTCAATCAATATTATTCACTACGTTGGCGCCATTCTTTCTGCTTGTATGTGCAGGTGAAATCATAACCTGATAGGATAGAAAATATATCCCTCGCTCACTTCATATTCACAAAGGCTGAGTTAAATCTCAAATAATGGAAGTTGGCTTCTCAGTCTTAGGGAAATCACAGCAGCAGTGAGCAATCAGCCTGATGCCATGGATTAGCTTTTAGCCATTTAACAAGCTTACAGTATTCTTAGTGGGGCTTTTGGTATCTACTTGCTTACATTTTAATGCAGACCATATTAAGAGAATATTTTGTGTTTACATTGTTAGTTTAAGGATATATTGATGTTCACCCTGCTACTAATTATTCTAATATCTTCATTCTTCGATCCATTCCAAATTGATTGTTACTCCTCTTCTTGCCTGGCTTCAATGTGTCCCTTTTTTTTATAAAGGACTATTTTCGCTTAAGAAATTTTCCTACATTGCAAACAGTAACAACATTTTAAAAATATTTAATTGACTATAAAGCACTTTGAGAAATCCTGGTCATGAAAGGAACTGTATAAAGAACTATATAAATGCAAGTTTTTCTTCCTTTCCTGACTTAGTGATACATCATTGTTAAACCAAACAATTTCATTCTGCCATTCCCTTCCCAACATCAGTCATCATCTTGTCTGACTTGCACCCAAAACCATATAACCCCTGAAGCCATCCTATTCCCCTTTGCTGATCTGCCACCCCATTTGAGTTTCACTGATAGCACTATTTGTAACTGCTCCAGTTCACTGATACGATCTCCTCATAGGTCTCATTCCTTCATTGCAAATAACGGAGCTCTGAGAAAACCACAAGGAAAACTAAAGAAAATGAATGCTTCGTCCTACAAAAACAATTGCACACCCAAAGATGTGGAGCCAAAGCGAATGGAGGAAGTGTACGAGTCTCTGAAGAAAGGACTAACGTAAGAACTTCAAAATCTTCAAATTAATGAACTAAGTATCGACCATTGCCAGTCATAGAAACTGTTTGTTGTCAGGTCAAGCACACTAAGTAATATCTGTGAGTTACATAGATTCAAAAGGAATTATATGCATTTTCTGTTGGGTTTCCTGTCTTTGGAAGTGAGCCAATAATTTAGAAATACCTGTCCATCCACAGAGAATCAATTAACCTTTAAGTGACTGAGGATATATTAATAAATAATTAACCTTTAAATTGATTTTAAGATATTAGCTTAGCTTGGGAACATGATTGGCATAGACTAGTTGGACTGAAGGGTCTGTTTTCATGCTGTATGATTTTACGACTCTATGATTCTATATCCATAGCCATTAAACCTTGGGATCATATTGAACATCTTTTGAACAGCAGACATTATGTACTACATGATTTAAAGTAGATACTTGGAAAGAAATGTGATGCAGTCATTAAGATGGTAAGTCATGTTATTCTCAACCCTTTCTCACGTTGTTAAACAGTGAATACCTGGAAGTGCATCAAGCAGAATTGGACAAGCTAACTACTCAGCTAAAAGATATGAAGCATGACTCCAGACTGGTAAGTGAAAGCCCAAACAAACAATAATGGAAATAAAAAGAGAAAATGGCAGAAAGACACTGTAAACACCAATCAGAATCTGTGGAGTGAAAAAATGATTAACACCTTTCGGCGTTAATATCATCAGAATCAAATGTCATGATTTGTTTCTAAAGCAAAAGGTTGCAGGTAAGGTTACAAACCTGAGGAGTTAATTTTGTTTCTTTCTCCACACAAGCTGCCAACCCTGATGCGTATTTACAACACTTTGTTTTTTTTCACCTCATGCCATGTTATTTCTCATACAGAGTTAAAAGGCTTGCTGTACATTTGCAGCATTTTCTGGTTTTATTGCAAATTTCTAGTTCTTCCTCTTTATTTTACCACTTAATAATGAAATCTGCTGTAAATGTGACGTCAAATTTCCATTTCCTTTCCTTACCTCTCTCATGAAATTGCTGATTTTTATAGGAACTTATAATCCTGCATGTTTGAATCTGGACAATGAGTATTTTGCAGGCATCCTGATCCATGCAGATGTCACCACTAATTCTACCTTGTCATCATGTAATTTGTACAACATACTTTTTAAAACATTGGGCCCTGGACAGGAATTGGTCAGAGATACAGCTTATTTTTCTCCTTCTCCTGGATGAAGGAAGTTGAGTTTGCTTGTAGTGGCCCACCACTATCCCAGCTGAGCTCTGTACAGACCAAGGATTACAGCGAGGGACAGAGTGTTTAATTTCCGAACTCTTAAGCAAGCTGAACAGCCTTGATTATAGTTCATAAGTTTATAGACTGTGATATATTGTGAAATTATAAAAATGTATTTGGACACCACAAAATGATGAAACATCTAACATCCAGTGAAAATTAGTGTCCTTTTGATTCCTGACCTTGGTCATTAGAAATTCATAATAGTCAAAGGCTGCTACTAGAGGAAAGTACTGAAATAAAGTGGATAATATGAAATATTTTAAGCCAACTATAGCAGAAGAAAAATGCTTCACTTTGTTTCATTATGGGAGAAAAATACAAGAGTTTGAGTTTTCAGTCATCAGTATCAGATAAAGGATGAACCATTATGCTAAGTGTATATCTTGCATTTTTAAAAATTTGAGTTATTTTTAATTGACATTAATTCCCTTACTTTTCAATCAATGGCGATTTTGTGGATGGTTATTAAGTGTTAGGGGAAATGCTATGATCTGGGTGAAAACTATAACCATTGAGTGCATGGGTTGGAGAAATAAGGTTACAATGTTTGAGCTTGATCTCCGATCCTTATTCCTTTGAGTTGAGAGCAAGATAATACTGAATTAATCCTATTAATAACTTTCAAAATGTGAATAATTAGGCTAATTGGCATGTTTTGTACCTGCTGAGCTGTGAAATGAATTTTTCATATTGCTGTATGTTCTTCCTCAGTCATTGAATAGGTTGCATGTGTAAAACCACACACTGTAATAGACAGGGAGAAGGAAATTCTACCAGAGATCATGGACCTCATTCCAGCAGTTGTAAATGTAATTGATCTGATGCTGGCTGTTTACTATTTGCAATGTTTTTGAATGATGCTAACTGCACATGGACTGACCAGATTTTGGATTGAGCTCATGCCAATAGCAATAGTTTACCACTCATATACATGGTATAGATAGGAAAAATCAATCAAGAAGACCTGGAAAAAGAGTTGCCAAAACTCCATCCTTAATTTTTCCCATACAGCTGAGAAATCCAAATAAAGGCCTTTCTTTTCGTCATTTAAAATTAATCTCTCCTTGCTGGCAAGTAGTTACTTTTTACTGAGGGAGAGTTCACAATCTCTATCAGGCATCCAGTACATTTTCAAAATAACTGTTATTCAGATCTAGGAAAAGAATGTCAACAGGTAATTCAACCTTAGAAGGCATCACAAAAAAGCCCGACATTTTGCAGTATTTGTATATGATAGTGATCAGGAGTGGAAACGTTGTCTTGTCTGTTGTCTTTTCACTAACATTTGTAGCTGTAAACCTAGAAAGATCAGCAAACTCAGAGGTGAGAATTTGGACCTCAGTCTGATACAGTGTGGTATGCTTACCACGAAGATAGTTGTGCACCCAGGCCATTTTTGAAAGAAAAAGAGAACATTTTAAAAGAACTTTTGGTGCGTTAATGAACAGAGAAAAAATGTAAACCCTGTAAAATCACATTACCACAGCACTTGTGGATGATGACATTCTGATTAGATTACAAATTGGCTGCACTTCTCCAATAAAAGCAAAATATTGCAGAAGCTGAAAATTGCAAATAAAACAAATTGTTGGAAAAACTCAACAAGTCTGGTAGTATCTCTGGAGAGAGAAACAGTGTTAATATTGAGTCTGATATGATGTCTTCAGAACTCTGCACTTCTCCAGCTGATCTTTAGGATCTGTATTTTGTTCTCAGTTGCTGGATCTTCCTTCTCTGTTTTACAGGAAGCATCACACTGCTGTTAAAATAGTAGAATGACATTGTTAGATGGTGCACGTAAATGTTTACGCTTTGCAGCTATAAGCTTGTTGCACCAGTAATCTAGCTGGAATGAACCCTCACAAGTGGGGCTGGGCTTAAACATAGGAAGGGTCATAAACACTTTATACAAAATGGAAATTGAACACAACATGTCATCATATGTGATGTGTTTTATGTGTGTGTGCTTTATTTGCAGGGCATCTTGTATGAGCTGGATAAGGTGAGTTGTTATTATATTTAATCAGCATCTAACTTGCCTCTATCTAGTGAGATTAGCACTATTATAAATTCCACTGCTCTGTGCTTCCAGCAGGAATTTTCTAAGAACAGAGCAATTCACTGATCATTCCTTTGTCTTAAAGGGTAACTTCAGAAATGCTTGAATGGTGCTCTCCCCACCTCACCCCTCCCTGTGTTACAACAACTGATTGAGAGATCTCCATTTGACTTCTTAGTGTACTTTTAATTGTGGAACTGAGTCCGGTTTGGCAGAGTGTGTATGGTGGAACATTAGAGATCAGTTCTACAATGTGAATTGGTTCCCATCATAATGAATTTTCCCAGGTTGCACTTAACAACATTAAAACAACCTCATGCAGAAACTAGATGAAGGAACTTGCAAGGGTTGCCAGTCAGCATTCCTAGCAGCACTTAATGCCTACAGGAATTGTAGTGGGTGGATCATGTGACTGCATTGCAATTCTTGTTTGCAATTCCCTCTTGTGGTTCCCTCAGTCAGCCACTGCAACTGTGGAGGAAGGTCAGCTGCTTGTGTGGGGTTTCTGCCAAAGTTACAGTAGCCAATCATCAGAACCTCACACCACTTAGGTGGTAGGTAATAAGAAATATGATAGTAGAGTAACTAAAGCAAATTGTAACAATGTAACAATTTTAGGAGCTTTACAGTGACATAACTAGTTAAATGCTAGTATTTATAATCGGTAACGTGCACTTAGGTTTAGTGATTAGTGTTCTATGAACACACTTGCTACAAGATTTTGTTGAAGAAGCAATAGCAACTTAATATAAATAATGCAAATAAAAACTGAAAGAATTGTGGATGATGGAAATCAGAAACAAAAACAGAAATTGCTGGAAAAGCTGGCAGCGTCTGTGGAGAGAAATCAGAGCTAACATTTTGGGTCCAGTGGGCCTTCCTTGCTGTTCTGTTCTGAGGAGGGGTTACTGGACCCAAAATGTTAACTGATTTCTCTCCACAGATGCTGCTAGACCTGCTGAGCTTTTCCAGCAATTTCTGTTTTAGTTTATAAATATTGCAATCCTAGCTCATCTGAACAAATTCAGTGATAAAATACTTAGCTAAATGTTACTAATGAAGATACGGAAATAACATGCAGATGGTCAAGGCTCCTTTACTTCTCCCTAGCTTTTGGTTTTATTTTGGTTTCATGGATCATTAAATGATTAATCTGCTGCTTACTGCATTGTTATTAGTTGCAGAACCTAATGATACATTTGCTTCTCATTGCAGCAAATCAAAGCAATTGAACGATATGTCCGAAAGCTGGAGTTCCATATCAGTAAGGTAGATGTAAATATTAGTACAATGCAACTTAGATTGACCTTAGATCACAGACAATAAATAGACAAGGCTCAATGTATGTCCAAAGTAAGTTACAAGAAATTGTTTTGAGAGAACAATATCATTATCACTTAGTATTTCACCAACGTTTTTTGACTATTCTTTGGAATGTCAGGTGTGGCTCAGTGGTAACACTCTCATCCTGAGTTGGCAGAATGTATGTTCAAGTCCTATATCGGGATATGGAATACAAAATCTAAACTGGCACTAAAATGAAGCACTGAGCATGAAGCTGGCATCCAATTTGCACCTGAGGTGGATATAAAAAAAAAGCCCATGGCGCAGTGAGGATAGTATACTTAGTGGCTATGGTAAATTTCACCAGCTGACTGTCCAGTAGGAAATTGTTTTCCATTTTCCTCAGTCTGGGTGCAATGTTACATCCATTGCAAGTGGTTCAGTAACATTCTGCTGGATGTGGCACAGTATATGCTGTGGGACATATTATAGCCACAGAAATTGCACAGAATTTTTTCACATCAAATCTGAAAATGTCAGTCTAATTGGCACCTTTCCTAATGTTGGAGAAAAGGGCTATGCAAGTGCTGGTTACTGGACAATATAGACAGATTGAAGGACTAAACTGGCAGTAGCCCAGAACAGGATAGCACTGTGATATACATATCTTTTACAAAAGCTGTTTAAATTTGGCACTGACTGTTCAGAATAGTCACAGACACGAAGGGGAAAGGTCCTTCCGAGGGTTTCACTGCTTCTGACAGCACCTGTTGTTACTTTGTATATTTTATAGGGGATACCCCAGGTAGAACAATTCTGTACAATAAACAGGATATGCAAAACCAAGAAATTCACGAGTAAAGTCAATCTGCTGCTGCCTTCATGTTCTTCCTTTATCTGCTCCCTTTGCAACCTGTTGCAGCTAGGTTTCACTTACCAGCTCAATGCTTAATCCCCAGTAAAAATCTAATTCCTTTTTAACATTTATTTCCTCTACTTAAACATTTTTTGTGAGTTGTTCCTTGCTAATGTATAATACTCATTAGCTTTCTCAAGTCAGAGTGCCTCAACCACAATGAACCTTCCCTGCCTCCGTGAACGGGATATAGCTTCTAGGGTGGGGATTGATCAATGACGCCAGGAAGGCTTCAGAGAATGCAAGAATGTTTCATCAGCATGTATTACACAAGTTCTAAGTTGTTCATATCTGTACTGAACATACCCAACTAAAGTGACATATGTTCAAGTACAATTTGTAGCAGGAAACAGGCTGTAGCTAAGAGGAAATGGTGCAACAAGTAGCAGATATTTGCAATGATTGGCAGTGGTTACAAAGCTCCCAGCAGGGCTGAGTCTCCAAAATTAACCAGTTCGTGACAGAGCTATCAATATTATTTCTTTTAAATGGGATTAAGTCATCATTGTTATTAAAAATGCTTTCTCCAGTAAGAGTAAACTTCACAATACTGATTATGAAGACATACACATTCAGGATTGATCATTTTTATGAATTTTGTAAGATAAAACTAAGAGATAGCAGGTTGGACAAGTGTAACAGTACTTGAAACAAATTGAGTTGAATCCATCTCTCCAGTTTGCCACTGAAATTTTGACACAAGATCTGCAGAAATCCAAAAATCACAGAGAATGGATTTTCATCTTCAGGAATATTCCCAGCTGAGCTCCCTGCAGGAAAAGGTGCGCGGAAAGACAGGGTTTTTTTCTTCATTATCAGGAGGACAGGTTATGGGTGAGCCAGCTGAGGAAGGAAAGAATTTGGAGGCAGCCACAGTGCTCTTCTCAAAAAAACACATTTCAAATTAAGAGCTGGAAATGACTGTAGCTGTTCAGGATTTAACCCATTTTATAATGACAGTTAGGCTTTAAAGAAGTTGTCAGCCAGAAGGTCTTGGCAGTGGTAAGCACTTCCCCTCTCCTCTGCCTCTCAAGGTGGTTGCTGAAGAGACCAGTTGTACATTTAATAAGGTGTAGATTAGAAGATTGTGCAAGAATAGCAGCTTTAAGCCATGGCAGACTGCATGTGATAACTTTCACTCAATAAAATACTTTAACTGACTTATGGGTAAATTCAGCCAATGGTTGCCAATGTCTCTGCTCACTTTCAGTTTTCAATATCACACTCTATGAAATGTACTTTCTTTCCATGCTCATCCTGCCAATGTGTGTCACTTTATACTTCTTTGAATTGAAACATATCTGCCACACTTCTGCCTTTTTCACCCTTCTGCCTATGTCATTCCAGAAGGCTACAACTATCCGCATCACTGTCTAAAGCGTTGCCAGGTTTTGTAGCATATAAAGACTTTGTAAAGGCCACATGCCTGCATTTCTTCAACACTGCACTGAGGTCAGCCTCAATTTTGAACTTGTTTCTTAGAAGTTTCTATTGGAGAAGTATCTATTTTATAAAAATTATGCTCCAAGATAATGGTTCAGAGAAGGACCAAATTGATTTTCACTTGATATCATTTCCTGTGTGATTTCCTACTTGATTGTGCTAATTTGTGGCTTACCTGTGGTTACTTTGAACACCAAAAACAAATTCATTTGACTTCAAGTTATGACACTTTTTCATCTCAATACTGCTCTGTAAATCTCAGAGAAACAATTGCTGTGGTATGTACTTCCGTAAACACTGTGCAGCAACATTAGCTATGTGTAGAAAATTAGTGTCACAAGTAGGGACTGATTTGAAGGATGTAGTAAAGGCTCTGAGTTTGATGTGACTCATTAAAAACATGTAGACAACTGGAGCCAGGGACCAAGCAGAAAATGGAGTGTATCACTGACAGAGGATTCAACATCCATCTCTTCTAGACATTCAGTTCAAGTTTGACTCAAAATTAGCAAATTCAGGTGAGAGATGTCAACTCTATGGGTGGAATCTTGTTGAGACATCAGGTATGTCCCCAGCTGGCTGGACAGTCAGTGAGAGTTGCCTGTTCTTTTTTGGAAGGCCTTCTATATGTTAAGTCAAACAGGCTGTGTTAATGCCATTGACAGGACTCCCTCTAGAATTAAGATCCTTGGGGTGGAGGTAGGAAGAATCAAGTAGTATCACTATGGTAGCTGGGATTGCTGCAGGAAGGACAGGCATAGTGTCTCAGTGATTAGCGCTGTTGCTTCACTGCGCCAGGACCTGGGTTCAATCCACCCTCGGGCGACTGTCTGTGTGGAGTTTGCACATTCTCCCCGTGTCTGTGTGCATTTCCTCTGTTGCTCCGGTTTTAATAAGTGGGGAGGGTGGGGAAGTGACCCTGAGCCTTCCTGAAGATAATGTAGTTCTGGCTGAGATGGGAAAGCAGTGGGTTCAGGCGTGCCACCGTCCTGCCTAATTGAATTCCTTTCCCACCTCCAAGCTCACCATCTCAATGTGTAGAAGTTTCCATCCTATTTACTGTATACAGAAATAATGGTTTTCTACACCACTGTAACTTTAAAGCCACTGTTATTTTTGGCAGAGTCCCACATCTGTGCATGTTGGGAGATCCCAGATGTTGTGCTCATGATTTTCAATCTGTTAAAAAGAATAAACTGAAATAATGAGCATTGACCTTGTGTCTTCCTAAATGAAGGGAACACTAGAATAATTATAAAGACTCATTTTGCCTCTATCTACAATATTAAAATTCTATAGATTCTTACTACAATCCTCATGTTTTCTGTTTTAAAATTCATATCCTCCATAAAAAGTGTTGTTCTGAACACTCTTCCAGTCTCAAAATCCTTCTTCACTAGTTAGAGTAAATTCATTAAAAATTCTACTGGCAATTTAAAAACATAAAGTCGAAAGTGCATAAAACACACAGTTGATTAATACTATTTTTTGTTCATATTGCCTTGGTAGGTGGATGAGTTGTATGAGACATTTTGCATCCAGAAAAGGCTTCGCGATGGAGCTTCCAAAATGAGACAGGCCTTTGCAATGTCTCCTTCCACTAAAGGTGCTCGGGAAAGCCTAGCTGAGATAAACAAGAGCTACAAAGAAAACACAGAGGTACAGTATTATCTTTGATGGCATCAACCTGTGCAACACTCAAGAGCATATTTCATTTTAGTTTGAAACAGTTTGCTTAGCAAAGAATGCCAAATAGACTGAACAAGAGTAATTCTGCTTTTGGCTGCATAAAACAGAGGTATCACTTTGATGTGTTGTTTTAAGTTAGTTAGGTTGGGTGATCCTAGAGTTTGGCCTTGAGAGCAGTTTGAAGTCAACTCAATACTGTAGATTCCTCTGGTGGATTAGATATAGTGTTGGTACCAATTAAATAGTGCTGTCTTAGAATTACAATTTACTAGACACTGTCAGGAATTGCTTTCTGGACTTCCCTTCTTTAATCCCTCTACCTCTTCATCATCTTCTCTTCCATGAAGATTCTCCTCAAAATCTCTTTGTCCAGGCTATTTATCATCACTTCCTCAATAGCTCAGCGTCTGCTTTTCTTTGTTCCTCTGAAAAGCCTTGAGAATATTTTCAGTCTTAAAAGGTGCTATATAAACACAAGTTGTTCTTGACTTGAGAGTGTTATTATTAATGGGTCATGACTCAGGCACTCTGCTCTCTGCACAGAAACACAGCCATTGTCAGATGCTCAATGCAATGAACTCTAATTCATACGATTTATACCATTACCTCTCTAATGGGGATGGAAGTTCTTACCGAGAAAATAACATATATTGGACAGGACCCAGACAAGGTTGAAAGGATATAAATGAAGAAGGGCTAATTAATGCTTACCAAGTATAACTAGAAAAAGATTTACTGGGAATTGCATTGGAGGATGAAAAAAGTTCATAGAAGTTTTTGTTTAGGCCAGGATGAAATACAATTGATCAACTGTTTGTGATAAGATAGGTTTCAGAGAAAACTATAGTACATGGCACTTATTGTTACAACTTCATACATTGTAAGTAGACCTTTGATAGGGCAATAAAGGACACGGCATGTCTTGAAGACAAATATGCCAGATTGATAGAAAATACTTTTAACCAGTCCCTCAATGCTATTACTGTGCAGAGGAAACTGGTTCAGATCAACAGTTGTGGTTGACTTAAATTCAGTGCTGGAAGTGGGAATAAATCTGGAGCTAAAAGATGATAATAGAGGAGTCTCCTTAAGTAACAGATTCCAAAAGTCTGATTTACTGAATATATACCTTATAACAACTTGCGAAAAAAAAATTGCAGAGACAAACAGATGTGCATGGAGGTAAGAGATTTTGATTAACAAAAAGAAGAAAAAGGTCATGTCATTTTGGAGTCATCAAGAATATGTGCACAATACAGCTGGACAGCATGCAGTCGACAGGTTAGAAAATGTGTACATTTTGGTGGGTAACTGTCTGAGAATGGGAGTTATGAAGAGTGGAAAAATTGAATGTGCTTTTGTTGGAGATTAAGCAGGACTTGGAAAATCAAAAACAGTTCAGTAAAAATAAAGGTAAGATTTATGAAGTTATGACTGTCCTCATATTATGACATGTATCTGAGTGTTGGAAAGTTGCTGAGGCAAGGTCAATTGTAACATTCAGATTTGAAATTAATGCTTTTATTTATTAGACCAAGTTATTAACAATTATGGCACCGAGGAAAATAGTTGGAGTTAAGAATCAGATTAGCCATGACTTAATTGAATGGCAAAATAGGCTTGAAGGCTGATTGACCTACTGATATTGCTAAGCAAATGTCCATTACATAAGAAGGCTTGAGCAAATTCTAGTAGCGAAGATGAACTCATTGACAAGAATACTGGGAGAATCAAGTATGCAAAAAAAAAGTCAAGAACTGAGCCAATACTTATCAAAAATAAAATTCAGGATAGGAGAATGCAATGATTGGGCACATTTCAAGAATTTAAACAGTCAGAGCAGATTTAATTCCCCCTTATGCCTGACATAAATAAACCATGGAAGACCAAGGAAATGTTGAATTAGCATTGCCAGGAGTGACTCGTTGTTGAAGGGATGCAGGTAACTGATGTGGCCAGGCTGTTTCACAGCTAGTGGAATGAATTCATTGGACCACATTATCACTGCTAGGCTGATGGGTTAGGATTTGGTCATTGGTATTGCAGTTTAATTGGTGTTTAAATGTCTGTCAGTTATAGAAACTGGAGGTAAATCGAGGGAAAAATTCCACAGTTTCGAGGCCTTAGGAACAAATAAGTTAAAAATGGAGATGGTGTAGTAAGTCTTGATTTGAACATGTAGGTTGAACTGAGGGAGAATAACTTCTATTAAAGAATATAGCAAAGGGAAAAGTTGCAAACAATTTGGGCAGGACTCACTGCTGGGGTAAAGAATTACTAGCCAGAGTAGAAGTGTACTTGACTAAAATAAGTGGGTAACCTCCACAAGACTATATTCACATAACTAACCTCTCCTTTTCCCACTACAGTACTAGAAACACTAGCACTTTGAATTTCTGAGTCTGTACAAAAAAAAACTTTTGCAAAATCAGCCTTCCTTATAATCTATTCAGTTTCTTAGAGAAACCATTAAGAAGCCAAATTGTATTTACACACTGAAAATTAAATAGAAGCACAACAGAAAGCGAACATATAATTCTAGACACATTAAATGCACCCTCTCATCAAAACTTCATATTTAAGAAGCAAACATTTACAGCATGATTTCCCATTCCTGGAGTTGGTGAAAAGGAGAATTAATTGTGTAAATTTGCCTTGGAGAGAAATTCACTCTCTTCTCACCAGCTCACTTTTTAAGTTCTGGGTAAGAAGGTCCATGGTGATCTTTTTGACTTGCTACCAGTTAAAGTTCTTTTGTGATGTACTAATGGTCACTTATGGGTCCCAACCTGCCACCACTCTGATTACCTGCCTCTAATATGGCTGGGAAGATGGCTATCTTCCCATCTAGGAAATCTTGGAGACCTGCCTGCTGTGTTGGGGAAGAGTCTCTAATTGCCCCAGTCTTGGAGTAATCAGAGGTGCAGATGGCAGACAAGAGCATGGCCTCTGAAATCTACTCCCCTATCCTTGTCTCGGACACCCCCTCCTCACATGAACCCCAAACCGTGAGAAGAATCCAAACTGTACTTCTTACTACCGGATCCTCCAAGGTGTAGCGTTTACACAAATGGACATTAGGACCCAGAGGCGGCTGGCTTCTGATTGGCTAACAGCTTCTGGTGACCTGGGGTGCAGTGTCAAGGCCTGTGATTCATCAACAAACTCTCATATGCTCACCTTTCCGCCCTTAATCAGCTGATTGGCAGGCTGGATATTTTTGGCTAAGTTTACTTGATATGGGAGGGGTGGTTCTTGCTCTTAAATGCTATCCCTACACAAACACAAAACGGGAAAATTCTACCTTCTGTCTATATTTTAGTGGAAATAAGTACATTGAAATCAGTGTTAGTTATATTGTAAGTAAGTCTTTTTGATCATTGACACAATGTTGTTAATAAATTTTTTTGTATTGCACAATTATACTTTATTAATAAAAATCATCTGTAAGTACATGTAAAGGTTCAAATTTAGTTCTGTGCATTCTTAGCAGAAACAAACAAACAACGCATTGGAATTTTTACGTTTCTGAGACTTCCCTGTGCTTGCAAAAACAAAGGCATTTTCTATTCACGCAGGAGACTATTTACATTCATTTTGAAGCGACGAGAGGGTCTGATAACTGAATGGACCCTTGTTAGATTTTGGCAGAAACAACTTATATGGTGGTCTTTCCCCACTGTACCTTGGTGGCAGCTGCTCCAAGCTTTAGTGCATCCCTCAGCACTTTATCCTGCACTTTGGAATATGACAGTCTCCAACACTTGGCTGAGGTTAATCTTTCCACTGGAAGACCAACAGGTTTTGGGTAGACCAAAGAGTGTCTTTCACCAAGTTGATGGTCTTCCAGGTGCAGTCGATGTTTGCTGATGTGTGCATCCCAGAGAACAGCCCATAGAGCACAAGAGTTCTGCATCACAGACCTGCTTGGGGTGAATGTCAACAAAAACCACTGCATCGCTCTCCAGACCTTCTTTGCATAGGCACATTCCAGTAGGAGATGTGTGACATAACACCCCCTCACCCTCAACCCATCCACGCACCCCCCCGAACAACTTCAAGGGTAATACGGAGTGGGAGAGAGAGTCTGGGCATACATCCGTCTGACAGGCAGTGCCCCTCTCATCACCAGCCAAGCGACATCGTGGTACCTGTTCAGAAGTTCTGGTGATGAGGTATTCTGCCAAATGACTTTGACAGTCTGCTCAGGGAACCACCCGATGGGATCCACCCTATCCTTTATCCGCAGGGTCTCGAGGAAGCTACATGCTCACCACTTCCTGATGGAGTTGTGGTCAATGAGGGTCAGGTGATATAGAATGGTTCAATTGCTCGGAGCATTCCGCACCACAGAGGCTAGGCCCATCCTTCGTAACATCGGGGACAGGTAGAACCTTGGTGTTTGCGTGCCAAGGGTCTACACACAGCTTGATGCAGCCACAAACAAAGGTGGCCAGCAGGATGAGAGCAGCATTGGGTATGTCCTCCCCCCCCCCCCCCTCCCCCCCCCCCCCCACTATCTAGAGCTTTATACATGGTGTTCCTGTAGACCATCTTTGACCCCCAGATGGAGTGGGAAGTGGCCCAGGTGACTGCAGTGGTACAGGCTCAGGGAATGCACCTGACATTGAGTTGGAAGTACATTCTAGGCTCAATATCTAAATGCATTTCAGCCATAAGGGTCCACACTCAAATATATTTGGGGTGACAGACCTAACACCTAAATCCTGGAATAAAAATAATATCCTGCAGATGCTTGAAATCTGAAATAAAAACAGAAATGTGAGAAACACTTAGCAGGTCAAGCTGATATGTGAAGAGATGCAAAGGAGAGAGACAGACCTGAAATTTTGTTCCAAAGAAGAATCATGATCAACTTGAAACTTAGTAGATTCTGCCAGACCTGTTGAGGATTTGAATTGATTTGATTTGATTTATCGTAGTCACGTGTACCTATGTGCAGTGAAAAGCTTTGTTTGCAGGCAGTACAACAGTACAGGCATTTCCAAAACTTTCTGTTTTTATCTAAATTCATGGACCAGGCAGACTTGTCTGTCTAAATTCCACATTTTATTCTCACAGCATAATACCTTGCATGTTTAACGATTTCCGTTTTGTGTGTGTAGTTTACTTGAGTTAAAGGAAGAGCAATTCATTTTCCTGCAAATCTTGAAATGTCCACGATACAGCATCTCACTGAACAATATGAGACACATCGCTGTTGGAGTTTCCACATTTACAGAAACTATTCTAGACTGTTCACCTTGACATTACTGGATTTAACGTGCTGTTCTGTGTGTGCCTTGTACTGACAGTAACTCCTTTCACCCTCAGGCATTATGCTCACTGGAGGGAGAGATTGGAAGCCTGCTGGGAGAATTTCACATTAAGATGAAAGGTAAGTATTAACAGAATAAATTTTTTTTTAAATTTATGGTCCGGGGAAGAGTGTGATTTTATGAGTTTTGGGGGTTGGGTGGGGGAGGAATAGGAGTTTATGCCTATTAGGCATTATAGTATGTTACAAATTTAAATGTGGAACACTGTTCAATCCAAATTAGAAAACAAAATAATTGAACTTCAGGTGTGAATCCAAGTAGATGGGGCTCCCTGCCAATATCACAGGCTCTCAAAATTCCCTTTCTATTGTTTCCTTTATTATTACATTGATCTTAACAAATATTATAATACAAATATTATCCTGAGGAATTTTTCCTGTCAAAGAATTTATCTCTTGTTCTGAGATAATATTCCTCAACAGGCTACAACATAGCAGATTGCACAGTGAGTTTGCAAACAGGGCTGGTTTTCTGTCCTCCCTTCAATTTCACTCTCACACCGTCCCTGTAACTTTCTCCCATCTATCATCGCTCCAAAGGTAGTGGGATGATAATGCCTGCATATGCCTTTAACCTACAGTTGCTCCTTTCCCTCTCAAATATTGCACCCAATGGAAAGCCTGCTAGGAGAACCTCTTGCTGGGATATGGCTCTATGCACCAGTAATCTAGTTCATGTACAAGAGAAGAAAGACTTGCATTTATTAGGCACCTATCAGAATCTCAGGATGTCAAAAAGCACTTTACAGTTAATAACATACTCTTGAGTTGTAGTTACTGTTGTATTATGCCATGTCCTTTATATGTTGCCTGTGACTATCAGTGGGTAGTTCACCTTCATGATTCATTATCCAAATGACTACGCCTTCCAGCTGAAATCATTGGATAAAATCAATCAACAGCTTTCTATCATCTATACAAATTAAATAGCCATTTAACTGCCTGAGAAATGCTTACAGCATCATATTTTTCATATTTGCAGTAACAAGCTCATCCTAGCTTCAGGAATGGACTATTTAAGAAATACACTCTCTTGTCATATCCTTACTGACTTGTAAATAACTAGACTTATTTTTGTTACATGTACTTTCTAATCAAGATGAAAAATTAGTGCCTGAGTGGGGATTGCTGAGTGAATTATGAAGTCAGCCACCCTCACCTCTAAGTTACAAGGTGTGAGTTCAAGTCTCAGTCCAAAGTGACACTTCAGTGCTGCATGATTCAAGTTGTTACCTTTCATAGAACATAGACATAGAACAGTACAGCGCAGTACAGGCCCTTCGGCCCACGATGTTGAGCCGAACTTCTACCCTAATCCTAAGGTCTATCTAACCTCCACCCCTACCTTATACTATCATCCATATGCCTATCTAATAGCTGCTTAAATGCCCCTAATGAGGCTGACTTCACTACCCTCTCCGGCAATGCATTCCACGCCCCTACCACTCTCTGAGTAAAGAACCTACCTCTGACGTCTCCCCTGTACCTACCTCCACTCACTTTAAGACTATGCCCCCTCGTAATAGCTACCTCCATCCTAGAAAAATGTCACTGGCTGTCCACTCTATCTATACCTCTGATTCAGGTGAAACTTTAAATCAATGCCCAAATTATAAACCAAGTCTATTCTCCTGAGTGGATGTAAAATATCCCATGACATCATGCAAAGAAGAAGGGTGGTTCCTGATCAATATTTATTCCTCTACTAGCTTAAATGAATAGCTTTTAAAAACCCAGAGAATGTTGGGGAAACTCAGCAGGTCGGGCAACTTTTCGTCATTTATATAAATAATTTGGATGTGAACATAGGAAGTGTGGTTAGTAAATTTGCAAATGACACCAAAATTGGAGATGTAGTGGATAGCAAAGAAGGTTACCTCAGAGCACAACAGAACCTTGATCAGATGGGCCAATGGGCCAATGAGTGGCAGATGAAGTTTAATTTAGATAAATGTGAGGTGCTGCATTTTGAAAAGGCAAATCAGGGCAGTACTTATACACTTAATGGTAAGGACCTGGGAGTGTTGTTGAACAAAGAGATCTTGGAGTGCAAGTTCATAGTTCCTTGAAAGTGGAGTCGCAGGTAGACAAGATAGTGAAAAAGGCGTTTGGTATGCTTGCCTTTACTGGTCAGTGCATTGAGTTTAGGAGTTGGGAGATCATGTTGCGGCTGTGCAGGACATTGATTCGGCCACTTTTGGAATTCTGCATGCAATTCTGGTCTCTCTGCTGTAGGAATGATGTTGTGAAACGCGAAAGGGTTCGGAAAAGATTTACAAGGATGTTGCTAGGGAGAGGATCTATAGGCTGGGGCTATCTTCCCTGGAACGTCGGAGGCTGAGGGATGATCTTATAGAGGTTTATAAAATCATGAGGGGCATGGATAGGGTGAACAGCCAAGGCCTTTTCCCTGGGTTAGGGGAGTCCAAAACTAGAGGGCATAAGTTTAAGGTGAGAGGAGAAGGATTTAAAAGGGACCTAAGGGGCAACTTTTTTACGCAGAGCGTGGTGCATTTATGGAGGCTGGTACAATTACAACATCTATAAGGCATCTGGATGGGTATATGAATAGGAAAGGTTTAGAGGGATATGGGCCAAACGCTGGCAAATGGGACTAGATTAATTTGGGATATCTGGACAGCACGGATGATTTAAATCAAAGTGTCTGTTTCCATGCTGTGTAACTCTATGACTCGAACCAACTTTCCTCTGTATTCCATCTCAGTGATGATTTAATGCTAAAAGTGCAAAAGAAGAAAACCTGCCTTTATTTTAACAGGATTCAGAGACTACATGTTATATAAAATATTTAAAGGCGGTTTAATGCTCAAAATAGCACCAAATGGACAAGTTACTCAAAGCATTTTTCAAAATCTAAAAACAAACTAAAGATTTAATTTTCCAATTGCCACAGTCAGTATTGAGCTTTGCCCCACCAAGAGCATGTTTCAGATACTCAGTTACCCATGATTTTCTGATCAAAACTGTGTAGTGTCCGCTTAAATTTCTGAAAAAAGTTCTTATTTCTGAAATAAATTCCAGGGATCTCACTAACAGTAAGAATCCGTAACATTTCCCCTTAACTGTTTATAAAGTAGAATTTGTGTTCATATTGGAAGTGTTTAAGTTTTTAATCCACCATCTGGGAATGTAAGGCTTTTTTATAAATTGCATACGAGCTTTAAACTCCAACTGTGATCCTGATATAATTTGCACTCCACAGGTTTAGCCGGTTTTGCACGCCTTTGCCCAGGAGATCAATATGAGGTAAGAGCTTTATCTTTTAGCTTTAAGTCATTCAGTAGGATAGGACATTTTGGTCCTTGTACTTCAAAGGATAGCTTGATCCTCTGTGAAGTGATAAATCACTCACCTCAATGAAACAATTAAAAAAAAAACTTTCCCCTTTTCTATTTGCTCACAGCAGCCATTTTGGCGTATGGACCAAAAGCAAAGTTTAAAGGGGGGAACAAAATGAGAAGTTGTTTTCAGATTTGAAATGAAATTTCAGATATTCATATGCAAAACACGCACTGACTGTTTTGTTCTTCAACAAGATCTTCATGCGCTATGGACGTCAAAGGTGGAAATTAAAAGGCAAAATAGAAGTAAACGACCGACAAAGCTGGGATGGAGAGGAGATGGTTTTCTTACCTCTGATTAATGAATTCTTCTCAATTAAGGTATTTATAGTAGACATATATAGATAGAGGGATAACTCTCACAAATTAGTGCAATGTTTAATCAAATTATATGTTGAGAACCGAATGAAGAATGATCAACTCTGGTTCTACTTATCCTGAAAGGTTTGACCCCTTGTCGTGTGATAACTGATCATGTGAGATCTGATTGCATTTTACAGTTAAAGGTTAAGCCTGCTGTAATTTATTGAACAGTTCTACAGCTACTTCTCCAGCAGTGCACACAGTGATGGTCAAATCTTTCTCCTCTCATCTAACGTAAATGCAAATTGAAATACCCAGGAAGTCGGGCTGCAGCTGTAGAGAAAGGAAAATGATAACATTTCACCAATAGCCTGAACTCCTTAACCAGAACACTGCACTGGCTGGGGATGAGGTTGCCCTCATCAATACATCACAGGTATTCCGTGGAATTCATTGAATTTCTACAGTGTGGAAAGAGTCATTCAGCCCATCGAGTCTGCATCGACTCTCTGAAGAACAACCCAACCAGACATAGCCCCTGACCCTATCCCCATATCCCCACACTTCCCACAGCTAATCCACCTAGCCTACACATCTCTGGACAGTACAGGACAATTTAGCATGGGCAATCCACCTAACCTGCACATCTTTGGACTGTGGGAGGAAACCTACGCAGAGACGGGGAGAATGTGCAAACTCCACACAACCAGTCACCCGAGGCTGGAATCGAACCTGGGTCCTTGGTGCTGTGATGCAACAGTGTTAGCCACTGATTTGGTGTTCACCAGCTTTTTACTACCTCAGTTTGTTTGATCAGTAGAGAATGTTCTGTTTGTCTGTTCTCTTCATTGAAGCCAATCTGCAGCAAGAATTCACACTGGATCTCAAATATGGCTTTTATGTTTCTCATTTCTCTCCTCATACTACCTTTTGATTTATGCAATTAGCAGCCACCCATCTCCTGTTCACTGGCTAACCAATGTAACAGCTTGCTCACTTTTTTGCTTTTTGTTTCAGTAGTTCCCTTTTCTGTTTCCCAGAATGGTTGCTCACTGTTTCATTCTATTTCTTCTTCTATGTTATTCATTGCAGTATCATCATTTTGTAAAGAAGGTCTGACTAAAAGAAACATTAGCGTTTTGTTTCTTCACAAGATGCTGCCTGACTAGCTGATCGTGACCATTCATTCTCTGCTTTTGCTTACGCTAGACGTGTTCTTTTTCTAAGAAAGCTACTGCAAAATGTGCAAGCAGGCAACATGACCCCACAAGAATGGAAAATTGCCAGGAGTGTTTTAGCTTTTGTGTTTTGTAGCGTGTGTGTGGAGTTTGTGGAGTTTGTGGAGTGTATGCTTTGTGGCAATACTTTAAAATCTTTCTATTCATCTTGTTTACCATGTGCTATAAAGTTAAATACATCCTCTGCTCTTCTTGTCTTCAAAGAGAATGTTTTCTTACAAACCTCTCTTGATTCGAAGCAATAGTAAGAATAGATCTAGAAACGGCTGAACACCCCATTGTCAGTCTCTACCAGGTGATGAAAGTAGAATCCATAATCATCCTTAAAGGGGAAGTGGATGAATATTCAACTGATAAAGGATTTAAAAAGGGAAAGTGAATAGGAAAGGAATAAGTGGATAGCTGTTTCAGAGACACAACACCAGCTTTCTCTGCACTGTAAAGTCTGTGATTCTCAAGGCAAAATTACTGCTGACATTTAGAGTTACGTCCAGCAACTATGGCTTTCTCCAGGCTCTCTGGCCTTATCAGTCCACTGCAAAAATACGACATTCAGATTTACGCAGTATCCGTGCAGAATTCAGAACTCCTTAGCAGAACATCTCTGTTTCATGTCAAGTAGTGCTCAGTCAATCCAATATGATCGCTTTTAATGATTCCAATGTCTACTAACTTTTTATTGTTTATGCATTCGGTACATGTTCACTTGGTTCTGTTGCTAGCACTTTTATCTTACAGAAAAGACTGTAGGTTTGACCACTTAATCAAGTCTCTTGTTGGCTTGAACAGTCTGCCAGCTCAGTTGCCCATTAAAGACCTTATAACTGTACTGTATTTGAGAAAGGGCAGATAGTTTAATTGTTCAAATTCCTCCCTCAATCATGACGACACACAGCACCTCTTACTGACATCTGTAGGGTTTTGATATCATAACTGTTTTTCTCTTAAATAGCATTTCAAAACTCGCTTTGTTGTGTGAAAAGTTTTGTGATAAACTAAACAAGTATAGGTATTATACAGTGTAATTTTGGAAGTCATCAGATATTTAAATTTTTTCTGTAAACTGTTTTGTGCAAATAGTAAAAAATGTAAACAGTTGAAAGGTGAGTGGTGATATTATCCATCGAAACAGCAACTTATGATGCAATGAGTGGATGATTTTGGTTTGACCTTTCTCCGCCAAGTGGTCTGCAATGTCAACCGTGTCGCTCTAGTAAGTGACTGATGGGGCTTTGATGTCACTTAAAAGGTGACAGCTAGGACCAATTTAGTTGAAGTATTCTTTCTTGTTTTCTGCTTTACACTGCCTGCAGGCTAACTGAGGGCAGCATTAACTCTGACCTGTGACCCCCCCCCATCCCCGCACCAAACCACCCTGCTACTTGCTTACAGAGTCCCTCGGCCCATGAAAGGTCTTACATGGTGGAAAATGTCATGTGTGACTCTTCATCAAAATGTACCTTTGTGAGAATCATCACAACAATGAAACAAGTCTATTGAGTTGCCAGCAAAGTTAATAAATTTATAGCCCAATATTTGAACTGGAAGTGATACTGACACTGACATAGTTTCTCTTTCTCTTTTTACTTTTCAGGTGTTGGAGTTGAAGGGATTGGCTACTCATCTCCTGGTTGGAAGTGTCATCTGTGAAACTAAGGACTTGTTCATAGCCAGACCACAAATGGTTGCCGTTGACATCAATGACCTTGGAACTGTTAAATTAAACCTTGAGGTCACTTGGTAGTAAGTATCACTTATTGACTGCAGCAATGCTTTTCACATTCCATAGATGGCAGTAGTGTTACTGGTCTATTCCTGTCATTACCTTTACTCAATTATTGTTTCTTATCAGAATAGGATATATTTTAAGATTTTTTTAAATGACCTTAAAACATACCATGAAAACAACATTTGATATTTATGTGAAGTGGTATTATGGAATGTGAGAAGTTTAAATATTCACTGTTATTGTGTACATGTTTTATCCACAGTCCATTTGACAAGGAAGACCTGACTCCATCCACCGGCAATCTGAATAAAGCCTCCAGTGTACAAAGACGATGTTCTGTCTACAGCCAAAACACCCCAGAAACCCCCACCTTTGAAGACTTCTCCTTCTTTGTAAGTAGTGTGCTCTATTTTGAAGTTTGTGCAAGATTACGGAAAATATTTTACAAGCCTAATAGTGATCAATAGACTAGTACAAAGTTTCAATACAGCAAGTTGGTTTTTCTTGTTTTCACTTCCTACATACTTTGCATCTTCATGTAATGAAATTCTGACATTAAGCAGACACTGGAATGTAAGCTGATATCTTATTATTGTAATACTACAATTGTCCACAATAAAGACAGTGTAGCCCAGAGGTTTAGGACACTACTTTTTTCACCTTTGGGACCTATCATGCACTAGTGGGATGAAATTCTCCTCTATCTGCTGATTGTATTGACTTAATATCATATAGTTCCAAATCAGTATGTAGAAAAACCTGAGCATAACTTTACATTACATATTTCACTAAAAAGTATTGACTGGTGTGGAATGTAGAGCTGTCACAATAGTGCAGCATGAATTGTTATTCTGTGAATCAAGTTATCTACGATGTAGGCAACTTCAAGGTGACAGGAAATAGGAAGCGTTCTGTTTCTTATTTGACATCCCTTAATGTAATAGATACAATTTCTATTGTATTATCTGATTTAACTTCAGATGAGGTATGGTTATATTTTCTGTGTGTTTATTATAATGGATAGAGTCTTTTGTGGGTAAGGGCATAACTCGGTGCCCATATTACTTACACCACTTCCTGCTTGGCCAGCACCACTAATATGTAAAACCTATTGTTGCATCCCCAAGATTTTGCTTCTAAGTTGAGTATTAAAAAAAAATCAAACATTAAACTTTAAATTAGCAACATCAAGAGTTCAATTGGCTGGAGGCATTTGTTCAGAAGAAAACAATCAAGTTATATACAATAATTACAAATAAATCAAAATAGCATAAATTAAAAACTGAGGAACAACAGGGAAGATAAGGCATACAGAATTGTTGAATTTTTAAATTGACTTTTCAGTGTTTATTTTACTTTTACATGATTAATACGTCAAAACTCCTAATATGTCAAGACTGCTAGTATGTCAATAATTGTTATTAAGATATTAAGGTTTGTTTCAGCTTCTTAGCTAGACCAGGGAGTTTTGAACTGCCAGTGACAACTACAGGCATTCTGAATATTCTGGTTCAGATGCTTAGTGAGCATTAGTATATAACTTTGCGGCAATTATAGTTGGGCAGTATTTGGGTACAATCAAATTTGGGTGCTGATTGTCAACTTCTTTAAAGCTATCCAGCAAATTGGTGTTGGGGTGGGCTAGGCAGGGAGATTCTTGTAAGCAGGGACTATATGGTTTTTCACAGGAACCTTCCAGAAGCACCAAGCTAGGTTCAACTGAACTGAGACCTACCTTGGCAGGTGTGTGTCCCCTTATGGTATGCAATGGGATGGTGGTTGAAAAGAAAAATGGTAAGCCAGGAAGATTTGATTGCCATTGCTACAGAGGCTAGATGGACATCATTAAGATGAAGGGAATAAATCACTGACAGTGTATGTTACTTTGTTTATGAACTCAGTGGTCTCTTACTTTCATTCATGGAACATGCTGTTACTGCGAGATTCCATACCGTGGAGTTTGTTTTCATGTCAAATGCTTCAGTGGTATAATGCTAATGGGCAGCTACTACCATGATTAAGTGGTTTGGTCACTGGGATTTGGTGTGGGGTCACTGATAGTTGGCAGTGGCAGGCACTATGGGATATTAGGGATATGTGTGTGTGGGAATTCTTAGAGAGGACAGGAGGGCACAGGGATTCTTCTTGGGTAGAAACAAAGAAAAACAGGCAGGATGGATGCGACTGCCTGTTTTACTGCCTGCTCAATATTTAGTCACATTAATCTAAATAGAACTGAAAATCAGGCAGGGTGTTTACCAAACCATCGTTCAGCAGGCTTTTGTTGTGTAACAGGACTTGCCTGCCTGCTGGAGAGCTGGCGAGAGTGCCCATTGCCTGTTTTTGGACGGGAAGCTGCTGAATCACAAACCATGTGATCAAGTAGTTGAGAACCCACTGGCATAGTTTTCCCGAAATTAGGTGCTGAAGGAGGAGGACCTGCTTACCGACAGCTTCTGCCAGTCAGAAGCCGGCAGCTTTTTGGATCAGCAGCATTACTGGGAGACTGGCCACTGGAAAGATAGCCATTGGAAGCTCAGGACCACAGAGTGATGCAGAATACTTCATTCTGACTGGTTAGCTTACGCTGCTTGATAACGTCACTATTTGTGGTGGCCTGGAGATCTACTGGACAATGTCAGATTCAAACTGGCATCAGGAGAGAAGAAATGCATGCCACACAGATCTCCAGATCATTGTAGATAGCCTTCTTTGAGGTTAGAGATGAGCAATGGCATTTTGCTGTTGACTAAAAGATCTGGGTCAATAACATTGTGTCATTTGTGGGACTTCCAAATGAAGTTGGGATTTAGACAACAGAAGCCATATCCTGAAGTTAACTTCAGGAGTCCTTCCTATTTTCAGATGTTGATATGGCTAACCAAGCAGACTTTATTTCCATTTGATGCTTCAGCCTCATTGACTAATTCACACTTCAGAGCATCAATTACCACTTTTCTCTTCGACATTCGTTATTTGAGAAAGATGGCCTGAAATCTGGTTGATGCATTCAGGTCTCATGAAAAATTCATAAAGTACATTTTTGTCAGGTTCTAGAGGACTGTGCTCATGAATTGAACTTAATCCAGCTCTGAACTCTTCATCACGTCACCAGATGTAAAGATTTGGAGTCAGAGAATTGAATACCCATTTCATATTTTGAAGATTCTTTTTTATTTCAATAGCAAGAGGTTTTCCTTGAGGCCAGTTGCGTAGAATGCCCTACGTACCTCCCACTGAATAAGACTCAACATGCCATAGTTGTCCTTGCGATTTTGGGTCACAGGTTTCATAAGCCTTTTCTGAGATAATTTGGTACAAATCTGAATTGCAGGGTATATAAAATGTGCTGAATGTATAGAATTTGGAGGGGAAACGGGTCTAGATTTTAGAAAAGATACATGGCCACAGAGATTCAGTTTGGGTAGAAACAAAACAAAATGGATAGGATTGATTTCAGCTGCTTGGTATTCTGTTCATCCAATCTTCATTGACATTGACCTTAAAACTTTGAATATCTTGTTTCCAGTGGTGTATCCTAACTTATCACATAGAAACTTAGTGAGATTTTGCTTACATGTTTAAAGTTTAAAGAAAGAAAGAGCTTAAATTTAAATATCATTTGTAGAGGGTTTTAGGATGTCAAAGTGTTAAAGAAGTGATTAATCTTTTCCGGGCCTTTAATCTTTGCCTACTATCTTCCCATAATAAATACACCACCAGTGACTTAACTATAGTTTCTTTTAAATATTCAGCTTCTTCCATTAAGCATTTACCACGTTTACTAACCCTTTGAATTTTGACATGCCAAGAAATGCCTGCAGCCATCACCAGACAGACTACAGCTGTCATTCATAGATGCTCTTCGGGACACGTTCTTTGACAAACTCAGACGGAGTCGCTCATTCAGTGACCTGCCATCTCTTAGGCTGCGTCCTAGGGAAAGGCTGGAACTCTATGTGAGTCCCCTTTGTGGGAGTGATTTCTTTCTGTGATTGGGATCTTGCCAGTCGCATGTATGTTTGTTCCTGTAACAGCAGTTGCTGATCTAGTAGATCTATGCGCATCATTCCACTCCCTCGTGATAGTGTGACAAAGCAAAAAAGTCCTCACAGATAACCAAATTCTTTTATGAATAAACCAATGGAGAACAATTATAGCTGATAGGAAGCCCAGTTGTTTTCAGATGTGAGTTATTGAAATTCCTTATTTGCCAACTTGTGACAATGTATTGGCATATACCTGGTGTTTGGATTCCAGGTAAGCTTTAACAGTTATCCCCCATCTGGTGCTCCTCAGTAGTCTCATCAAATATTACCTGAAGGCACCTACATTTCAGAGGTCGCATAATTGACATGGATTTATTTGTGCCCAGTCACGGATGCCAACCCTGGCAGACACCTGTGGTAAGGATTCTGGGATGGAAATCCAGTTGCTGTAATTGTTCATAGAATCTCTACAGTGTGGAAGCAGGCCCTTCGGCTCAACAAGTTCACACTGACCCTCAGAGCATCCCACCCAGACCCATCCCCCTATAACGCATCTAATCTACACATCCCTGAACACTTTGGGCAATTTAGCATGGCCAATCCACCTAGCCTGCACATCTTTGGACTGTGGGAGGAAACTGGACCACCCGGAGGAAACCTACGCAGACATGGGGAGAATGTGCAAACTCCACACAGACAGTTGCCGAGGCTGGAATCGAACACAGGTTCCTGGCACTGTGACACAGCAGTGCTAACCACTGAGCCACTGTGCGTTACAGGCTTTGGAGCAGAAAACAGCTGAAAGATCTCCAGACTCTCAAGGGTCTCTAAGAAGTCAAGAAAAAGGTGCCACTTTGACATTTTGCCATCTGTGGTTTTATTGCCTGCCCCCACCACCTCACATCCACCAATTTTGACGGGGACTTGGCCAAGAGCTACTCCCTGTTATTTAATGGTCTGATGGACATGCAGGATGTTGAGATGGGATGGCCTGTTAAGACCATTCCACCTCATTTCTGTTGGCTCTCCACCCTTCTTAGAGGATCCTCGTGAAATCCCAATCATGTAGAAAGGAGCAAAGATCGTGAATTATGCGTCTCAAGCTTTTTCTCCTGTGCTTTGCACCAATAAACTCGGTATTGCAGCTGGAAATCTGATCAATAATTTGCTGCTGTCCAATTTTGTTGATTACCCATTATGAAGATCTCTCTATTGCCTGAATATTAAAACTTAAGATGAGAAATTAGTTTTATCCATAATCACTATTTATCTGCCCAAATCCCTCCTTTGTTGTAACAAGTACTCTAATTAAGCTCCTTGCATCCTACCTGTCTACATTCGTGTTGACAACTACGAGGTTAGGCCTAGACACCTTACTGCAAATGATAGCTTACCCATGGCACTGATTTACAATAGATGTCAACTATAGGTATATTCCTTGAGGGATTGGTATGTATTTTTACATGGTTTGGTTTGAGAAGTATAAAAGAAGTTTGTTTATATCATTATTTATGTTACATAATGTACTCATTAATAATGATGAAACGCATACTTCTAAGTAGGAAATGGAATAATATTCCTTTTCCAGTGGCTGTGGCATCAGGCAACTGATGTCCCAATATCTGATTCCTTTCTTTATACCATGCATGATATTGTCATATGTGCATTGTTTGACCTTAAATACACCGGAGTGTACAAACACCAACACTACCAGAAACAGCATTGAACCACTTGTTTGGCATCTGATCATCGCAGAGTTAACTTGACAAGCTTCAAACCAGAGGCTGAATCTTTGAGATGATAATTACAATTACAAAGCAAAAATTCTTTTTCAAATTTATTAAACTGCTCTTCAGTTTCAAACTAATTTAATTCTGCAGATATAGACATTTTGCAGCAAAATTTAATAAAGTAGACATTAAGCACAATAGTCCCAGCTTAATTATTTCAATTTGCTCCACAAAAACAAATTTAATGATGCTGTATATTTCACTTAAGGGACATTTTTAAATAAAAAATTGAGTTATTAAAATTACCTCATTGGTTTGTTTGTATATTAACTACTAAATAAAACTGTACAGAATTATTTACAACACCTTGTTGCAAAATCTGAGGGTGGATAGTGTTGATGTTTTCCAGTTTGTGATTGCTAGTAATGTCACAAAAAACATTTTGGCATCTTTGTATCTCATTTATACAAGTCTCCAAGGTTTCCATACTCATTGCATGTTGAATTAAAGCATCTTTTTTATTGTCTGCTGTTAATTGCATCTTGCTTCTTTGTCTCATCCAGTTCTAAATTGGAGTATAAGCTGTAAGAGCAGCTTGAATATTGTAAAATATCAAAATGGACCATAATTTTCTTAATAGTTATTATAGTCTTTTTCTGAAGCTCCTCAAAGGTCCTAGGGTGTCATTTTTATCTTAAGAAGTAGTGAAAAGCAGGTAATATAAATTCCTGTTATACATCTCTTCTGATTTTCACCTATATTGACTCAAGCATTCTCCTTCTGATGAAGGAGTATATTTTAGGAAGTCTCAACTTTAATCCTAACTTTTATTTTGTAGAATAGAATGGAACAGAAACAGACTATTGCTCTCATATCAAAGATGGTGGTGACAGGACAAATAATTCACTATGATTTGATGCTGTAAATATTTTTTAGTAAAGGTTTCAAATATTTGACTTCAAAGTCTGAATGATCCAAAGTTTATTAACAATAAAGGAGATTTGATTCTCCACCTTCCCAAACCGTTTTTATGATATAAGTTTGTCTGTTTATACTACCCATCTTTGAGGTGAGACCTTGCCAGCTGCCATTGCCCTGTGACAATGACACTTTTAACAACTACATTATATGCTACTTCTTGACATTTTCTTTGGTCCATTTTGATCAATACTTGTCCAAAACTGCCATGATATTTGTAAAGGTGGTCCTTTTCTTAAACTGTGTCTATCTGCATATTTTTACAGCAGGGTTTTTTTTATTCCAGTCTTCGCAGCTTGAGGATGACATCTTTGATAATGAGAACTTGACCAGTGAGTCCATTTCATTTAACCATGGCTACCTTACAAATGGCACATGTTTCAGCCAGCCTAGTTTGACACCCACTGGCCGGGTTTACTCCAATCCTGAAATCACAGTGACTCCACCCGATATTCAAGATGAAGACTATGAATCTCAGATTTCGGCTGCTGAGACAAATGATATATCAATAGCAGCAAACGAAACAGAGAGAACTGGTGATCCAAATGCACTTCAATCAGACCAAGGAGAAGAGGTGACAGATATTGGAGACCTGTCGTCTGTACAAGTAGGATGCCAGAAACAGGGATCTAGCCAAGAAACAGGCATATTTTTAGAATCCAGTGACACAGTGGGAATCCTTCAAGATTCAGATGAGCTGTCTGATGTAAAACCTGTTGAATTGGATGCATATGAAGGCAATCTAACCAAACAATTGGTGAAGCGATTAACTTCAACAGAAAGGTTACTAGCTCCTGATGGACAAGAATTCGATGCCTGTATATCGAGCGGATGTGAAGGAACCAGGCCAGTGCTGGAGATGAGCCTGGAGGAAGCTCTGCAGGGTCTTCTTCTATCATTGGAGCCACACAAAGAGCAATATAAAGAGCTTCAAGATTTAGACCAAGAAGTCATGAAACTTGAGGACCTGTTAAAGGTCAGTATTTTCAGATGAATCTGATCCATAAAGTGCAAGCATACAATTATTGTTTTATGTAGACTCGTCCTATAGTTAAAAAAACTGCTTGATGTAAGCCTGTCTACATGAAATATCAGTTTGTATGAATGTGTACCAGAGAATCAGTGATGGTGGTGCCCATGTATCCAGATGAGGAGAAATTGGACACAAAGTCCTCTGGCTACTCACAATTGGAGATGATGTCTTTTTAAAAATATCTTCCCACTACTGAAGTTAAGCTAACTGGCCTATAGTTACCTGCCTTTTGTCTACTTCCTTTTTTAAACAGTGGTGTCACATTGGCTATTTTCCAATCTGCAGGAACCACCCCAGAGTCCAGTGAATTTTGGTAAATAATTACTAGCGCATTTGCTATTTCCCCCATCACCTCTTTTAGGATCCTGGGATGCAATTCGTCAGGACCAGGAGACTCGTCTACCTTTAGACCCATTAGCTTGCCCAGCACTGCCTCCTTAGTGAAAATGATAGTGTCTAGGTCCTCACCTGCTATAACCACCTTGCCATCAGTTTTCGGCATGTTATTTGTGTCTTAATTGGGCCAAGGAAGCTACTTTGGCAACAAGTATGTTCTAAATGCAGTTGTATCTCCTCCCAGAGGTTTCCTATGTCTGGAATTGTGCCCTGAGATTGGAAAATTGCCAGTGTCAACCCAGGATTAAAAAATAGGACCTTTATAAACTAGAAGGTTATTGGCTGATTAATCTAACATCTGTCATGAGGAAGTTATTGGGAAATGTTATAAGACCACTTGGGCAGACACGAACTGACCAGAGAGAGGCAGTAGGGGGTTTTGTGATGGGTAGGTCATGTTTATAGGACCTGCTTGAATTGTTTTTGGGGCATTATCTTAGATAAGGGAGTGTCTCTGGATGTTGTTTATATGGACTTCTAGAATCCATTCAACAAGTTGCACATAAAGAGTCTCTTACGAGAAATGAGAGTACATTGAATTGGAAACAATCTTACTAACACTGATGAGTAATGAGTTAGAAGGTGTGAAACAGACAGTAAAATAATGGGTCATAGCGTAGTCAAGAAGTCTCTGTTGACATTCCCAAGAATCTAAGCTCATGCCTGTCCTTTTCACTATGTTTTTAAACAACTTGGATGAAGTAATGGAAAACCATATATCCAAGTTTGCTGAAGACACTAAGTTAGGCATCACAGTAAAAAGTGTAGATGGAAGCAAAAAGTTGCAACGGGACATTAATAGATAATAATAGATAATAGATGGACAAAATGGAGCAGGTGTTCAATGTGGGGTGGTGTGAGGTGATTTACCTTTGGATCAAGGAAAGATAGATCAGAACATTTTTTGAATAGTGAGAAATGAGAAGCTGTAGAGAAGCAGAAGTTTTACAGCCAGATTTTCGAGAAGTCAGGTCAATTCTAGAGCCCTTTAAAAATGACAAGTAGGACCTGATTCTAGGCTCCCCACCCCTGTTCTCAGTCACAGATATTTTCACCAGGGTGGGATATGGGTATGAATAATGAGGCCACATAACTTACCCCAGTCTGGCTGTTTGCATTGTGGGAAAAGGCATCTCATAATTCCACCAAGTTTGACCTTCACAATTTTTATGAAGTTGGACACCCTTCTTGTGGATGAATAATGGCCAGTGGCTCCTCAGAGGAGTTGTGAACTCTACTCTGAATTTCAGAAATCTTTTCGAAGGTACAATTTAAAAGGTTTTGCTATTCACTCTCCATGCACACCCCCATGCCCTTTCCATGCCTTCTATGCTACCTATGCCATGCGCCCCACTCCAGATTCTCCTTATCCACTGAACTAATATGCACCAAAGAAACCAATGACCTTTATGATATAGCAAGTTTGGAAGTGCCTTAAAAAAACACCCATTCAAAAATCTGCTTGAAAAGAAACACTGCTGTTACAAACCTATGACAGTGTCAATCAGAAGTACTATTGTGTTAACATAGAAGATTTAACACACATCATAATAAACAAAGAAATATGTATTAAGATGGGGCAAAGAAGCTTGGACTTGACATAGGGAATGGACCGGGGCAAGGATAAAGTTGGAAAGTTGAATAACCTTTAATACAACTAGGATGAAGTCCATGAGAAATTGGCAGACCTTCTAAATTCACCAGTCTCTGTGACCACATCCAGTCTGCATCAATGGTCAACAGGTCTGACTTGATCCTGCTCCTGTATCTCCAAAGCAAAATTGGGCTTGCAGGAGTCAATTTTACACAGATGGGTCTGCCATGTTGAACAGTTTCTCAACTTGATGTTTCCACCTCGATGGTGAAATTCAGGCTTTTAGTGTCTAAGTTCTGGGATCTTTTAAGGCCAGTGGGTTATTGCAAAAGATTTTAATGGTTGTTGGATATTAACTTTTATCTCAAGGGATGGAAGCTAATTTACGGCAACTTTAAGCACAAGTTTAGCTCCAGCTGGAGTACTGCATTCAGCACTGGACATCAAACTTCTGGAAGGCCATACTGGCCCTGAAGTGGTTGCAAAACAGTTTCACCAGATTGACACTGGGGCTAAAAGGATTGAATTAATGAGGACAGATTGCGTTGACTAGGCTTGTATTCCTTCAAGTATAGATTAGGGGATAATCTAATAAATCTTTTAAGATAATTAAGAGTAAATAACGAGAAACTATTTCCTCTAGTAAGGGTGTTAAACACAAGTGCCGAATATTGAAATTAGAGCTAGTGCATTCAGAGGTCATGTCAGGAAACATTTCTTCTCATAATTATTTATGAAATGCAGCCACTGTTGTTATGTGGGCAGAGTGAATAAATTACATAGAATAGGTTTTCTGAGCTCTGCTTCTGACATAGATGGGAGCATCAATCAGCATTCCCAATTTAAACAACCCTAATCTTTCATCGTTGATTTAAATCAGGGGAAAAATTAGAAGCAATGAAAATTGGGCCCAGTGGCCTCTGTGCCCAATTCTCCAATCAGCAGTCACGATTTTATAATGTAAGTTCAAAATGACAACTTTTATGAAGACAATGGTAAGCATAAAGATCTACTATAGTGGTAACACCAGCAGTGATTTGTGTCAAAGTTCAATGTTTTGTTCATTTGCAATGAATTTAGAGTATTGTATGTGAGCATGATAGAGTGTTCCCATTTTCAAAATTGAAAGTGTAGCAACAACCCTCCCTCCCCTTTCTCCTCTAGTCACCCAATTGGGAGTAATGCTGACTTCAAGTTTCACAGCATTCCATGATTCCCTCGGACCATGCACCAATCATAGCCGAGAGAGAAGAGAATGCAGATGACCTCCTCTGTCTCTGTGCTGCTTTGAACTAGCAAGAATTGATCCACAATGACTGTTCCCCAGCCATTGCCACACATCTCCTTGATGGTAGTAGAGAGATTCAGGATCCAAAGGAGATCAGTTACCATAGATGGTAACATTCTGTGCCATCCTCTGCTCTAACACACCAAATCAAATTACAATAATTTGCTGCCCTGATAATTGAATTCTTACCTCTATTTTCATTAATTTTTAAAAGAAGTGCTAATCTCTTTGGCTTCTTTCTTTGTCAACCTACTCATATTTTAATTCCGTGATTCTCACTGATTCATTCCGCTTGCAGTGCAAACCGAATACAAACAGAAGCAGATCATCCAGTTTAAGTCTGACTGTTGAAAGTGCTTTAGAAAGCTTTGACTTCCTAAACACATCAGATTTTGATGAGGATGATGGTGGTGATCATGATGCCAACTCTGAATGTTCTGACATTGAGGCTCGGAAAAATATTTGGTAAGTTTATCGAGTTAAATTCAGGGTGAAGATTATACTAAACTTCTTCATACCTGGCATAAGGAAGATGTTACTTTAGAAAGGTCAGTTTTTATTTATCACAATGCTTAGGAATGATTTTACGAAGATATAACAGACACAGATTATTGTGAACATATTAACCGGTGTTTTCTAACTGATGGGAAAATAGTTTAACAAGTGGAAACCTAGCCAATTTTAATGACAGGGCCTAATCAGCATGTTACTGGCCAACATCTGGTGAAAACCATAGGAAAGTTGGTGGGAAAGAATTGCACATTGGTTAAAACCAGACAACTCAGTCACAAAACTGTGCACAATTTAAGCATGGAGATAGATTTGGAGGTGGCCACAAAGGTTTGATGGTGATGTTAATGTGGGGTGAAGGAGGGAATAACTACACTTCCCTTGCAGGACCTGGTGGAACACTCCTGCTCTGCCTGGTCCTAAAAGGGAAAGAAATACACTCCTAGACACATGTCTTCTACTAATGTTTCTCCTGTTGCTAGTTTCAGACAATTAAGAAAACTGCAGTCACTTAATTGCTCTGGTCAATGTTAAAGTGGCTATTGGATCCTTTTCTAAGTTTTCACGACAAACAAAAACCTCCCCAGTTTTGTCTCAGTGGGTTTGATATCTGTAATTTAAAATTTCTGACGGGGAGAGGGGTAGTTTGGGCAGAATGTGATAAGATGAATCTCTTGCTCTGTTTTGATAGTCCTGTCCAGCTTCCACACAGATTCTTTGCACTATAGATACATTTGTTACTGAAAGGGGACAAAAAAAAAGCCCTTTCTTAGCAATGCCAATATGGCTTTCGCACAAAGTCACTTATTACATTTGTGCAATATGCCACTGAATGCAGGAAATTTATGTCTTGTGTAATTATTTATAAGTGAGTTAAAACTGAGAATTTATCTCAGAAGGGATACACATCACAAGATCTGCTGTGGATGTCTGTGTGCCTAATTCATGGCCTTCCTGACTCCCCACATACAATGATTTTTGAGCTCAATTCCCCAATTATCACTTCTATTCAGCAATGTTTTGCTCATGAAACCCAAACTTGAAAACATAGTTTAATATATTCTTAGATTTCTTTTATTCTGATTGCCTCAGCTCTTAAAGCCTCTTAATATCTAATTATGTGGTTTAAGTTTTCATGTAGAGATTGATTGATTGAATTAGTAGATCTGGTTGGTCTGTGTCTCTAAAACTGGCAAGGTATCATACAAGTTGTCACCTGAGATGTTCAGCTGCTTAATTGGTGGCTGTCCACAGGAGCACAGCCTGAATGCAAGGAACGCTGGTGGTGACTTGAGGTTAGAAATAATCTAAAGGAGAAAGAAGCTGCATTTACGCGGTGACTTACAGAATGTTCTAAAGTACTTTGCAATCGATGAATTATTTTATAATGCAGTTACAGAGAGAGATCCCAAAAAATGATTGTGATGAATGATCACTTAATCGGTTTCAGTGCTGTTGACTAAAGAATGAATATTGGCAGTGATGAGAAAGAGCATCAATGGGTACTATCATTTCCTAACATGGCAAATTGACCTGTCTAGTTTAACTTTGCAGCGCCACATTGAAAGATTTCCTGTCTTTGAAACAATATTAACAATATAGCAATTTAGAATATTTATAAGAAATGTTGAGTATTTGGCCAATGTTCAGAATTAGACACTTTACTAGTTAAATTAGTGACGTGCTGGCAGTGAGAATTTGAACTCATCCATAAAAGCACAATTCTAATCCCCTGAATTTATAAAACTTGGATTGCTTGTTGTTAACATAATTTTGATGAAGTGGTGCAGAATTCATTTTATTTTATTCCCATGTTTATATCTTTCACACTCAAAGCCCAGATTTTGCCAAAGCTGCGTGCTGGAATATATAATCAGCACGATTTGAATGAAATGTCAGTCTCTCTCCTCCATTCTGAACCAAATTACATGGGGAAAAGGCTCCATCTAGAGTGAAAACCAGGAACAGATGAAGTCAGGCTCAATTCTATTTGAAGTGATGTAACCATTTAGTTAAAAACCCTGTGCAAAAGAATTTTTCTTTACCTCTATGTTTAAGTAATTGACATACCCAAGAAAATAACTTTCCAAAAAAAGTTAATGACATCTTAACTGAGTAGTGTGCATGATTCATCCAATTTATCAAATGAGGGGATCAGACATTCTTGTCCCTTCAGAGGGTTGTATTTTGATGTATTTATGTATTTAATACTAGTTTCTGGAGTATCTCTACCAAGTCAACCTTGACTCCATTCAGATTGATGACAGTGACACACAATTGCAATTATGGTGAAAATAATTATAAGCTGAGGCCCATAATGAGGGATTGTCAATATTAAAAAGAATAAAAAACAAATTGGAGGTATGAACCTCAAGAAATAGGAATTGAGATTTAATAGCCTAAATTTTGTACTAGGAAGGAGAGACTGAAAAAGTCAATGAGATTCAGAGGTTTATGGCCCTGGGACAGCATGTGTTAGATTAGGAATGTGAGACCATGGCAGCACATTTCAAACCCTGGAAGAAAAAAAAGTTGAAAGATGCTTACCAGCATTAAACAGGTTAGTGATATTGATAAAACTGAGAAAGACCAAGAGAAATCATTTGGAGGAACAGAGTTTTAATGTGTAGAGCCAAGCTAAGGGAAGGCTTTGCCACTGATTATTGGCATTTGAATGGCAGGGAGCATTTAAATAAGATCAGAACTAGAAAATAAAGGGATAAAGCTACTACACAGGATTGCAGAAAGTTGCAGGGGTAAAGGGTGATATGTCTGTGGAGGGATTTGTAAATAAAGATGTACATTATGATTTCAGCACAATAGAATTTGGAGAACAACTAGAGATTGATATACTGATTGTAACAAGGTCAGTCAGGTGATACTCATAGAAAACGAGTTCCCTGATTGGGGTTGTAATTTGGTCTAATCAGGGAGTCCTGGCTGAGAGATATAAACAGGAGTGTCCGAGGTTCTGTTCTCTCTCAGAGCTGGTGCTGAGAAAGCTGGATCAGTGTCAAGGACTCTCTATGTGTAAATAAAAGGTGACTTGGTGACAGGATACTGGCCTCTGCAGATTAATTTCAATTGGCACAGTCAGAAGTTAGTTTGAAGTGGGACTTGATAATCCAAGTAGTCAGATTTTATTTTAGTGGTGATTTCAGTGGACTGTGAAATGGAAAGTCAGTGAGGAGATCATTGCAAGTGATGGCCATGAATGTGATGAAAATATGGTTGAGGTTTTCAGTGTTTATTAAATGATGTAAGATTGGGAACAGTTGCTGTTATTGACCTGGGAATAGTTAATCTTGGAAATGGATAGAATATGGAAGATAGAAACTCAATGCTGTACTACAACAAAAAAACACTGCTGCAGCCGGGATACAAACAAGCGTTAGTAGAATTTCTCTGTACAGATATAGTAAGTAAGCCTGGGATAGAACTAAATTCTACTGAAAGCCGCAGTTGATCTTGGAAAAACAATGTGTTTGCCACAGAGAAGGAAATTGAACTTCTTGGAGGCAACTTCATCAATTGTGATGAATACCCACTTAAGGGCAGAGGAGCTAGTGTGTTCAACAATGTAAACAGATAAAGAGAAAGATAGAGTCATCAACTTGAGGGATGGCTGCTGCTGTTTGGACTTCCTTCCAAGGAGATAATGGCATAGGATAGAGGAACACTTAAGGCCAGTTCAGGACTACATAGTAGGCACCAGAAGCTTTATTGGAAGCTGGAATCAGATAGGTCAGTTGTAAATGAAATGTATCATAGGTCTTAGCAATGGAAAATGGACCTATTCAGGAAGTTAGAGGAAATTAGGGGAAGCCGTGACCCTGAAAGGATGGATTTCTGTTTAGGAGAGCTCATGACTGCCATCAGTATGGTAGAATGGAACGGAGGATTGTTGGAAATTATGGTGAACAGGTTTGGAATGGGTCAAAGCAACAGCTGCTGGAGGTTTAAGATACAAGTGGAACCATTCAGGATCTATACAAAACTGCAGCGTTTTTTAAAATGTCTTTGAATGGTTAGGCCCTTGTGAAAGTACAGTCTGAACCTCTAAACCATTTTGTTTTAGTATGCATTATTTTGAAATATTTTCTATTTAACCTATTTTTCTACTTAACCTGTTCAGAGATGTTTACACATGTGTGGAGCAGGGGGAACTTGAACCTGGGCCTCCCAGTTCAGGGATAGGGACATACCAATAGTTTTCTATGAAATGTGGGGATTTTGCATTATGTCAAGTATCATTATAACAATGAATTTTGTGTGATTGATTGATTTGTCTTGAATGACAACAGCTCAGAGCATCCAGATGCCAGGGGTCATCTCAGTGAGGCACTGACAGAAGACACAGGCGTTGGCACTAGTGTTGCTGGAAGTCCTCTCCCACTTACCACTGGAAATGAAAATCTCGACCTCGCCATTGTCAAACACTTACAGCATTCTGAAAAGCTCTTTCAGGTAATGCACCCAAATGAACAAGACAACTTCACATATTGACCAATATATTCACAATGCTTTTGATAGATTTTTGACTGCATTGCTTCCAGATTGTAATCAGTGCATGCTGTTCAATCCAGATACTCCTTCAAGTCCTTGACTATGTTTGCACATGTTTTTCCTTCAAAAATGCAAGTGAAAATGCACTAGGTATACCGACAATGTATTAATAGCCAAGAAATGCAGACAATTCCTGGTGTAACAAATACTTCTGCTGTTTGACAGGGACACACAAATTGTGCTCCTGTGTCATTGACTTTTAATGGCATGACCGTCACTGAAATCCCCCCAACTATCAACATCTTTGGAGCTACTATTGACTCAAAACTGCACAGGACTAAACATGTAAATATGTGGCTACAAGAGCTGATCAGAGGCTGGGAATCCTGCAATAAGCAACTCACACCCTAACTTGCCAAAGCCTGTCCATCATCCACGAGTCTTAATTCAGGGGTGTGATGAAAACACACTCATTTGCCTGGATAATGCAACTGTCAACAATACTCAAGAAGCTTGACATAATTGAGGACAAAGCAGCCCACTTAGCTGGCACCACATCCACAAACATTCACTCCCTCCACCATTAGTGCTTAGTAGTAACCATATGTACTATCTACAAGATGCATTGTTAAAATTCATCAAGTGTTCATAGACAGGACCTTCCAAACCTAAGACTACCACCATCTGGAAGGATAAGGTCAGAAGATACGTGAGAACACCACCATCCATACACACCCCACCAAGCCACTCAGCATCATGCCTTGGAAATATATCATTGCTCCTTCAGTATTGCTGGATCAAAATCCTGGGATTCCCTCCCTAACAGCACTCTGGATATACTAAACGTTACAAGGACTGTAACAGTTCAAGAAAGCAGCTCAGCGCTACCTTCTTAAGGATAGTTAGGAAAGGACAATGAACAGTAGCCTAGCCAGTGACCCCCACATCCTGTGAAAGCATTAAAACACTGGTCTTAATTTCCTGGACTTAGAATCTGGGGACTGCTTGAGCTCCTGGTCCTTGCCACTGCTGCTTCTGGCATTGCTGGGATTACAGAGCTGCCAGCCTTTACGGCAAGGTTTCTACCTGAATGAGAGGTGGAAGATACACCTCCAGCCAGTTAATGCCCCTTGGAGTGTTATATTGCCACAGGGCTGCTGGATCTCTGTTGACTGCCTGTGTGGCAGGGAAGGATACCCTGCCATCCAAAAACACTCTGCTTCATGTGTAGAAATACAAATTTGACAGTCCAATTGTACTTACTATTTAGAAAGTGTGGCATCATATGTCTCATTTGCTGTGACTTTGTTAAAGAAAAATTGTAGTCGTGGAGAATTATTAATATATCACAGCACAGTATTACTTAATTTAAAAAGAGTGTTGCTGAACAAAGAGACTTAGGGGGACAGGTACATAGTTCCTTGAAAGTGGAGTCACAGGTAGACAGGATGGTTCAGAAGGTGCTTGGCACTCTTGGCTTTATTTGTCAGCACATTGAGTATAGGAGTTGGGACGCTATGTTGCAGCTGTACAGACATTGGTGAGGTCACTTTTAGAATTTTGTATTTAATTCTGGTCTCCCTGCTGTTGGAAAGATGTTGTTAAACTTGAAATGGTTCAGAAAAGATTCACAAGGATGTTGCCAGTTTTGGAGTGTTTGAGCTATAGGGAGAGGCTGAATAGGCTGGGGCTTTTTTTTCCTTGGAGCATCGGAGGCTGAAGTTTCTATAATTATAAATGCCATGGATAGGGTGAATAGCCGAGGTCGTTTTCCTACGGTAGGGGAATCGAAAAATAGAGGGCGTAGGTTTAATGTGAGAGGGGAAAGATTTAAAAGGGCCCTGGGGGGGGGCAATTTTTTCACGCAGACTGTGGTGCATATATGGACCGAGCTGCCAGAGGAAGTGGTAGAGGATGGTACAATTACAACATTTAAAAGGAATCCAGATGGGTATATGAATAGGAAGGTTTTACAGGGATTTGGGCCAAATTTTGGCAAATGGGTCTAGGTCACATTAGGATATCTGGTTGGTGCAGACGAGTTGGACTGAAGGGGCTATTTCCATGCTGTATAACTCAATGATTCTGTGACTCTAAATGTACTTTAAAAATACTTTTTTTTTCCATTTAATAGCAACTTTTGTCATTTGAAGAATGGCCAATCATTCGGGACAGCCTGCTGGCTAAGATTTCCCAGCAGACCCATGTACTTGAAAACCTGGCTGAGCTCAGTACAGAGAAACCAGGAAATATTAATCCTGCATTAGAAGGTAAGATTAAAACAGTCAGAACAAAAATTAACCTCGCTTCTTGTGAAAAGTTCTTCATACAATGCTCCCCGAGTTTTTTTTCCAGAAAATCGTCAATTCTTCTGTACGGTCACACCTTCATTCTTGCTAGAACCAAATATCACTCTCCTATGTTCTGAACTTTGCTCCTTGAAAACAATTATGACTAGTTTTTCAGGCCTGTTACATCACACATGTTGCCAGCTTAGTACACTGCCCTGCCAGGAGGTGGTCCTGCCAGAATGCGTGCACATTTCTTGAGACAAGAAAATGGGACATTCCTCATCTCAGGTTCATAGTATGAATCAAAAACCTAGTGGGGCTCATTATCTAATCATGTATCTGTATCTGTATTGTGAGCATTAACCCATCCTTTCTTGTTACTCATACCAAGAACTACTATGCATATCATATAAAGCATCTACTGCTATAATTTTGAATTCCATCATTTACCTTTTCATCTCCATTTCATGGATATGTAAATAAGTAGATAGTGTTACAGGCAAGCAATGTGAATGTTTAAATGAAGGGATAATCTGATAAGACCACATGACAGGATTATTTAAGTAAGTGGTTAATGGCACAGACGCACTCCTCAGTAATACTCAAATAGTGAATGAAATACATCCTCTCAAATATGGCCTTAAAAATGTTGAAAAATTCACTAAATAAAAGACCCCTTAGGAATGCAAAATACTGATGTTAAAGTAATTGCAAGAAAGGGTGGCTACAGCCCAGTTTGACATTATTGCAAGTTTATTTTCTTTATAATAACAATACAATACAATACAGGAACAGGCCCTTCAGCCCACCAAGACTGCGCCAATTCCTATCCTCATTTTGACCCACTACTTATTGCCCGTATGCGGTTTCTATCCCTCTGTTCGCCTCACATTCATGGGTCCATCAAGATACACATTAAACATTGCTATTGTGCCTGCTTCCACTGCCTTCATCGGCAGTGCATTTCAGGCATTCGCCACCCTTTGTGTGAGAAACTTTCCCCCACCTCTCCCCTAAACTTTCATTCTCTCACCTTGAACCTGTGCCCTCTTGTAGCTGACCCTTCCACCCTGGGAAAAAGCTTCTGACTATCCACCTTACCTACGTCTGTCACAATTTTGTAGATGTCTATCAGGTGCACCCCCCCAACCCCGCCACTGTTGCTGCCTCCGTCTTTCTAATGAAAACAATCCGAGTTTATCCAACTTCTTCTCATAACCAAAAACCTCCAGACCAGGCAACATCCTGGTAATCATTCTTTGCATCCTCTCCAAAGCATCCATGTCCTTCTGATAGTGTGGCAGCCAGAACTGCATGCAATATTCCAAATATGGCCTAACTGAAGTTTTATACACCTGTAACATAACTTGAAATACTTCTAGATTGTGAAAACTTCTTGCATGGGAAATAAAAATTAGACTGGAACCCATTTGATGAAACACAATAAAATTTTTCACTATTGACTCAGCCTCACTAGATTTTTGATACAAACTATGAAACAGCCCACAAAAAGCGTTGCAGTGTTTTGTTTGATTGTCATTTTATCATGTTTCAGATTGAATACTAAGCTGTGTTATTTACAGTTATTCCACAGCTACGGAGAAATCAGGCTTTACTCTCCAGCTGGCTCGAGAGTTCCAGTTCAGGAAGTACATTTTACGCTCCAGTGGACAGATTGATAAAACAACTGAGTCTCCATTTTGGCAAAAATGTGAACGAGAGATGTCCAGGCCACTCTGAAACAGGTAGGGTAACCATCAGCCACTCCAGTTAGACTTTGCTTCACCTATAAAAGACAGTCTCTAACTAAATTCAAGAAGCCAAAGTGACAAATTACAATTGCCTTCTTAGAACTGGAAATTGTCTCAAACAGACAGATCAGAAATAGAATAGTAGCTTTTGTAGTGGTCTGTTGGTTAGAATTTGCACTGTCACCACTGCAGCCTGGGTTCAGTTCCCAGGCAGGGAATAGCTCTAGGCCAGAAAGTTTGGGTTCAAATCCCATCTGCCCAGAGGTGTGACATAACATGCCCGAACAGGTTGGTTACAATAATGGGAAACAGATTAATGCATCCAACTGCATCATGCACTCATCGGGTAAATGATCAGGTAGCATCAGGGGTGGCACGGTGACTCAGTGTTTAGCACTGCTGCCTCAGCGCCAGGGACCCAGATTCATTTCTAGCCTCAGGCGACTGTCTGTGTGGGGTTTGCACGTTCTTCCTCTGTCTACGTGGGTTTTCCTCTGGGTGCTTCGGTTTCCTCCCACAGTCCAAAGATGTGCAGCATAGGTGGATTGACTATGCTGAAATTGTCCGTATTGTTCAGGGATGAGTAGGCTAGGTGGATTAGCCATGAATGATATGGGGTTAAGGTATACAGTGTGGGTTTGGGTCTGGGTGAGGTGCTGTTCAGAGGGTCTGTGCGAACTGTATGGATCAAATGGCCTCCTTCTACACTGTAGGGATTCAATAATGTTGCTGTCAGCCAGAGAAAGAAACACTTGAATTTATTTCACAATTACAAAATCTCAGAACAGCCTGACCTAGGGCCTTGGCCTCATTTACCAAATTTGACCTGCCAACATGCACAGGCACTGCATTTTAATTCACTGAATTGTGGGCAACTTGCCTGGTCCTTAGTTAAATCCCTGGTGAGTAGATAGTGTGATGACATTGAGAAAATTGAATGCTGAGGGACTCGTGAGTACTGAGTATGCAATGGTGAGGAACATCCTAACCCCCCCTCTACAAGAGCAACCTTTAAAATTCACAATTTACCTTTTGTTACCAGTGGCTGCTTAGACTGCAGTGACCACCAGAGAATTCCTTGAAACCATAGGTTTTGTGCCTGTTATTGTCTTCAGAATTTAACAGAGGAGGCTTAAAATAGGAATTAAGACTCAGACTTACATATGGACCTAATGCATTCTTTTGGATGATGTCTAGAGATGGTTGAACACCCTGCTGCTCAATGTCAGATTGAATGTATTTATGGTGTAATTTGAATGTGTGATGAATTTATTTTAAATTTTAAATTTCTTCATTCATAACATATAGGTTTTGCCGGAAAAGTCAGCATTTGTTGCCTGTCCTGAATTTTTCTTGATAAAATGGTGGTGAGCTGCATTTCATGTGATGTGAGCACCGTAGATTCTCAGATAGCACCTTCCAAACCCATGACCACTTCCATCTAGAAGGACAAGGGCAATAGATATGTAGGAACATCACCGCCTTCAAGTTCCCCTCCAAACCACTCACCATCCTGACTGGGAAAGATATCGCATTTCCTTCACTGTTGCTGGATCAAAGTCCTGGAATCCCCTCCCTAATGGCATTGTGGGTCAACCAACAGCAAGTGGACTGCAGCGGTTCAAGAAGGCAGCTCACCACCAGTTTCTGAAGGGCAACTAGGGATGGGCAATAAATGCTGGCCCACTCAACGGCACCCACATCCCACAACAAAAGAAAAAAATTTTTAAAAACCCACAGTACTGGGTAAATGATCATGAGTTTGGAAGGTGCTGTTGAAGAAGCCTTGGCAGGATACTGCAGTACATTTTATAATCAGTATACACATTAGCCTCAGCATGCCAGTAATGGAAGGAATAACTCTTCAAAATGATAGATGGGGTGCAGATCAAGCAGCTTGCTTTGTCTTGGATGGTGTTGAGTGTTGGAGTTGCACCCAGCCTAGCCAGGGCACAGTATTTCATTGCACTACTGACTTTATCACCTATAGATGGTGGAAGAGAGATTTAAGGAGTGAGGAGATGATGTATTCCATGCAGAAACCACAGATTTGTCACAGACTGTATATGTAGAATCAGAGAATCTCTGCAGTGTGGAAGGAGGCTATTAGGCCTACCACGATCCTCTGAAGAGCATCCTACACAGACCCACCTTACTACCCTATAACCCTGCATTTCTCATGGCTAACCCACCTAGCCAGCACATCCCTGGACACCATAGGCAATTTAGCACGGCCAATGCACCTAACCTGCACATCTTTGGACTGTGGAAGGAAAATGGAGCACCCAGAGGAAACCCACACAGACACCGGGACAATGTGCAAACTCCACACAAGCAGTCACCCAAGGGTGGAATCGAACCCAGGTCCTTAGTGCTGTGAGGCAGCAGTGCTAACCATTAAGCCACCATGCCACTCACTGTGCTGTCCATATGGCTGGTATAGTTAAGGATCTTATCATACAGGGCTCCAATTGATGGTGTGTTCACTGGCAGTGGTCATATATTGAATTTCAAGGAGGGATGGTTAGTATCTCCCGCGTTGGAAATGTACATTTTCTGACAATTCTATAGTATGAACATTACTTGATATTTAGCAGTCCAACTACAGATGCTGCCCAGGCCTTAGCACATGTGGGCATAGACTGCTTCATTGTCAAATGAATTGAGCTGAACACTTTATATAATTATCAGCAAATATCTCTGCTTTTGAATTCACAGTAAACTCTAGACTTGGATTGAATATAGAGCTGAATCAAATGGGAAACCCTAGAATCTAGGTAGGGAAAGGAAAAGGTTTCTAAAGAAAAGGGATATTGAGCCTAATTATTTGTAATTGTTTTGAATTTTTATGTTTTACTGTATTGTTCTGATCCCCAGTCTTTCGAACCCTTGTGAATCAGATGCTCGATAAATCTGAATTGTTCACTGCCCCTGACGCACAGGAAGTAATAACTATCTGCCAGTTTGTTAACTATTTGACAAGTCACAACATATCTGATTTTGGAGATCACCTGACAGAGCTGGCAAATGAAGGTATCGTGTGGTAGTTTCAGCTGTTTGAACACCTAAGACATTAAAGCGCTCTGCTTAATGTTTAATTTGTTCATGTGATGTGGGTGTCATTTATTGTCTGAACCTAATTACTCAGAGAGCAATTCAGAGTAATCACATGTAGACCAGGCAGATTTTTTTCTGTGTATGCTGTCAGGTTAATATTTTTAAGCATACCTTTTATTTTTAATATCTGCCACAGTAGGATTTGAACCCATATCCTCAGAATATTAGTTTTTGTTTATTCATTCATGGGATGAGGGTGTCACTGGCCAAGCCAGCATTAATTGCCCATCCCTAACTGCCCAGAGGGTAGTTAAATCTCAACCACATTGCCGTGGGTCGAGTGTCACATGTAGGCCAGACCAGGTAAGGATGACAGATTTCCTTCCCTGAAGGAACCAGATAGATTTTCTTTTATGGCAATCAACTCGTGGTCATTATTAGACTCTTAAGTCCAGATTTTTATTGAAATCAAATTCCACCATCTACTGTGGCAGGTCCCCAGAACATTACCTGGGTCTCTGGATTAATAATCCAGTGGTAATACCACTAGATTCACCTCACCTTAGTTTGGGACTCTGGGTTACCATAATGTATGCAGTGTTTAAATGGTTTGAACTTTAACTTGATCTAACTTCAAGTTTCTGCCATAGTTTACTTGATTACCCCAACATCATTCACATTGGATCATTTTTCCTTCTACTTGGACTTATCCCTTATTGTATTGATGTATTTAAATATTTATATCTCTAGCACTTATCGGAGATGATTTTGTTTAATGCCAAGCACATTCTTGGTGTTAGTTTTATGAATTTACAACGTTTCGACAGATAGAAAATAATTTGAGTTGCATTGCAGTTTGTACCTGGAATCACACTTGCACTCTTATTGCATGAAGTTCTGCCCCTGGACCAAAACACAAACAGATTCTAAACAAGGCCTCACACTTAACATGCATTGTCTGACCTAAAATGTCACCTCTTCTTTACACTAATAAAACCTTTAGATCTCTCAGGACAGTGACTTGAAAGGAATTTGAGGATTTACATATACATATAAATCAATTAAAACCTTCTAACTGATTAAAGATATAACAGCATCTTAGATTTGTTTAATACATCCTCATCAGTGGTGTGACCCTTTGATATTTTACTTATTAATTCTGTGCCTGATACAACCTCTCTCAGTAGCACTTGAAGGAGGAGTGAGGCTCCGAAAGCTTGTGTTTTCAAATAAACCTGTTGGACTATAACCTGGTGTCATGTGATTTCTGTTGTCCACCCCAGTCCAACACTGGCACCTCCACATCATCAAATATATCCAACAGAGATAATTTGTGCTTCTCCTGCTGTGTTCCTCCAGCTCCACATTGTATTGACTCTGACTGCAGCATCTGCAATTCTTGTTATTTCCTAGAGATAATGTTAACCTACACCAAATGAATGAATTTCTTGTTTTATGCCGTACACAATGGAAAATAAAATTAAGTAGGTTACAAGGTGATTATTTAACTCAAATCCTGTTCTTCATTGTGGGTGCAAAAGATTATAATCGTTCCTTGTAGCGCTTTTCAGCATTTTCAAATCTGCTCATTATCAAATCCTTTACAGCTCTATTTAGATGATATATTTGCAATGCATAGTCTGAACTACAAAAAAGGAAGAAAAAATGTGACTTTCTTGAATGTTTTTCCTGTACTCCATACATCTTGATATTCTTCACAACCAATTAGGTACATTTGAATGTAATCACTATGTGATAACACAGATTAATTTCCATAGAATAATGCCCCACAAACAGCAGTTAATAGTTCATCTGAAAGATGGCATCTCTGCAAGTGCTGGACTCTTTCAGCCAACTACGTTTTGTGCTTGGGTCTGGATTGGGGTTGAAACCACCCCCTTCTGTCTCAGCGATGAAAGTGTTGTTATTAATTATCACTTCATTTTCAATGGAATTTTATCTTTCATGAATTTTCTAATTTAGTGATGCTATCATAAGCTTATAGCTGTGTTGACCAGCTATGTATAGTGGTAAAATTACATGGAGGGTGCCTTGCTACAAATGCACATTAATAAGACTCAGACTACAAATTCGAGAACTTGTGGCCTAAGTGTGAGGGCTGGTTAACTTTGGTTTTGAACAATTAATCAGGGGAAATCCCATGCTATATTCAATGAAGAAAATTGCTAATGGATCTCATTACTTCAAATAAACAAGCAAATGGGACCTTCGCTCAACATCTGAGGAGTTCATCATGCAGCATAAATTCCTGTTTTATTGTACCCCTATCTTTAAGCTCAGCAATGTGAAAGAATATTGTGCATGTGACCCAAATGCACTGTGCGTAAGCCTTCCTCCAATGAATCAAAGTAACACTATTAGGAATATTGCTTTGCAAGTGAAATTCTCCTGTTTGGGGCATAAGTTTCCTCTCCTTTGAGATGGTGAGAGATGTGGTGAGAAGGGCAATTAATTGAGCGAGTTGGCCCTTGAGAAATTCTTGCTTTCTCAGCAAATATGTGCTAGTCCAGAAGGTTCACTGGAAATTCCCTCAACTCACTAGCAATTAGTGGTCAATTAGAGGTCTCACAAGAGCTCAATTTGCCACCAGCCCAATTACATGCCTTCACAGCAGTCAAGAATAGTGGCTAGTTCCCCGACTGGATAACCAGGCAAATCTGCCTGCTACGTTAGATGGGGTCTGCATTTGCTCCAATCTAGGCCCAAGCCAGAGGAGGAATGTAGAAGTGATGGGGGATGGATGTGGCCACTGAAAACTATTCCCTGTGGATCCTGTGAAAACTCTTTAGTCTTTAGGTCCCAGAAGCAGCTGGTCTCTGATTGGCCAGCAATTTCGAGTGAAGAAAAATCCATTGTCAAGGCCAACAATTGGCCAAGAAGCTTGTTGAAGAGCACTCCAAGTTGGTTGGAGCTCCGTTCTGCCAACTTTCTTGCTGGCGAAGGCAGTAAGTTGCCATTGAATGTGCCAGCCCCCACACTTAGGCCACAAATTCTCCAATTTGTAGTCTGAGTTTTATTAATGTGCATTTGTGGCAAGGCACCCTCCATGTAATTTTACCACTATACCCTGCTGGTCAACATAGCTATAAGCTTTTATGATAGCATCATTAAATTCACGAAAGATAAAATTCCATTGAAAATGAATTGATAATTGATAACAACACTTTCATCTCTGAGACAGAAGGGGGTGGTTTCAACCCCCATCCAGATCCAAGCACAAAACCTAGGTTGGCTGAAGGAGTCCTGCTCTTGCAGAGATGCCATCTACCAGATGAACTATTAACTGGAGGATCAGTCTCCTCTCAGTTGAGCATCAAAACTCCCATCAAACTAAAAACCGAAAGAACTATGGATGCTGCAATCAGAAACAAAAACAGAAATTGCTGGAAAAACTAAGCAGGGCTGGCAGCATCTGTGGAGAGGAAGCAGAGTTAATGTTACATGCCTGTGACCCTTCTTTAGAACTGGACGCAGCTAGGTACTAACCTTTCTCTCTAAAGATGTGCTAGACTTGCTGAGTTTTTCCAGCAATTTCTGTTTTTGCATCCCATCAAACTGTTTCAAACAAATTAAGTGGCTTTCCCGGGATCTGATCAACAATTATCCATCAATCAATGTCACCAAAACACATTAACTCGTAATTTTAACTCATTGATGTATGTCAGTTTCAAATCAGCTGTTAAATCTCCTATCTTACAGTAGACATTGCACTTTAAAAGGCCTTAGCTGGCTGTAAAACATTTTCTAACATCTTTTTTTCATATACTACTTTTATCTAATGTTTGTGATAAAATGCGACCTGGTGATTAAAAACCATCTCTTTATTTTGAAATGCAGTTGTGCTGCTGCAGACCCTTCAATCCTTGCAACCAGAAAAGACTTTAGAGACACTGGAGGAGCAGCCAGCTCAGAACCTTCAACCTCTAGAGGAGACCTTAAAGGCAATTGCTTTCCTTCTATTGGAAACAAACAATGATCTAGTGCAGGCTGCCACTTCTTTCCTCAACACAGCATCAACAAACAAAAATTTCAGAGAAAAGGTATAAACTCCAATATAATGTTGAGATATTTTACTTTTGCAATGTATTGTTCAATTCATGAGTCATTATATTGGATAACAATGTGTGTATTATCTACATGCAGTTATATTTCATACATAATGAATTTAACAGCACTTGCCAGTACATCAGGATATCTGTTCGCAACTGGACGCTTTTTACATGAATTTTGAAATTGCACTAAAGAGTCAGAGGTAGTTTCCAGTAATAATTTATCATCTCACTCATATATAAACATCTGCATTTATCAGTTTCATTCATTCAAGTAATCTTCAACCTACCATTAAGTTGATAACATTGAATTCATAGTTTTTCCTCCTTTGCTTATTTGACAAAATAGTTCTGATGCCAGAGCCTGCAGGTGTACTGTCCATGATTTTCTGTATGTTAAATTTATTTCAGCGGCTAAGGATTCCAGCTGAAATTGCCTAGAAAAATGATCTCATTATACGGTTGTTGACTTGCTTGCTGAGCTAGTAAGGTTATTCACAAATGTTTTGTCACCAGACTAGGTAACATCACCGTGTGCCTCCGGTGAAGCATCGGTGTTCTGTCCTGCTTGCTATTTATGTGTCTCGGTTTGCTGGAATGGGTGGCATCACTTCTGGATTTGTTTTTTAGTGGTTGGTATATGGAGTCCAGCTCTACTTGTTTATTAATGGAATTCCAGTTTGAGTGCCAGGCCTCCAGGAATTCTCGTGTGTGTCTTTGCTTGGCATGTCCTAGGATGGCTATGTTGTCCCCATCGAATTGGTGTCCCTCTTTGTCCATGTGTGTTGTAATGAGTGATAGTTGGTCATGTCTCTTGGTAGCTAGTTGGTGTTCGTGAATCCAGAGGGCTAATTTCCGTCCGGGTGTCCTATATAATGTTTTTAGCCAAGGACAAGCCAAGCAAAGACATGTACGAGAATTCCTGGAGACCTGGCACTCAAACTGGAATTTCATTAACAAACATGTAGAGCTGGACTCTATATATGAACCACTAAGAAACAAATCCGGAAGTGATGCCACCCAATCCAGCAAACCGAGACACATAAATAACAAGCAGGACAGTACACTGATGCTTCACCAGAGGCACACTGATGATGTTATCTAGCATGGTGATGAAATGTTTGTGAACAAACTTACCAGCTCAGCGAGCAAGTCAACAACCGCATCAACAACCTGAGCTATAAATCTTCTCAAAAACTTTGACCTCGTTATTTTGCTTCTTATTATAGTAAAGGAATCTGACAGTATCAGCTCTTTGGGAGAACCATGTAACCAGTCCCACTCCCTTTGCTGTCTCTCTAAAGCCTTGTAAATGTTTTCTTTGTTTACGCAAATCCAAATTTCTTTTCAAAGTTACAATTGAATGTACTTTTATTGTCAAACAGTGGTTGTAATAAAATTTTAAACAAATAATCAGGAACTGAGAGGAATCTGAACTTCAGAGTCTTTTAACTTTTCTATATTTGGATAATATGTGCATATCATCAAAAACAGTGTAAATTTCCCACCCTTAAGCAGCATGGGCAATGACGAGAATTGTGGCAGAAAATGGCAAGAATGAGAAATAGGATCTCTAATGTTGATGGTTGGATGAGAATCTTGCTAGTAAGCAGCAAGGACCTTATTTCCACCTATATGCAACTTATTTTTAGCGAATCTCACCTTGTTTATATGCAATGTGCATTTGTCCTAAGCACTGGTTAGAAACTAGACGGCACCAATTCCCAACTTGAAAGTCTGAGCGGTTATCTGGCAGTGGTAGCTTGCTGGTTGCTTTCTAGGCTTTCCTGTTTACCTTCCTTCACCAACATCTCAGGGCCTATCCATGACAGAATCCCCTCCATCCTTCATCCAGACAGAGCACCAATCTCATCCCATCATTGTGGATGATCTCAGAAGACAGTTCAGCACTTCACCACTGCATTTTGTCGCTCACTGATCCCTGACATTGCAATGTCCCAGCTAAGGTCACTGTGGAACAGAACTAAGATTAGGAGAGGATGCATCTCAAAGTTCTTAGCTTGCTTTCCTAGTATTCACTCACTTTGTACTTACTCGGATGTTAGGAGCATCGCTGCTTTGCTTTTCAGTGCAGACTCAAAGCCAAGCAGCTTGTTACGGTTGGTAGCACTGAATGGACAAGGGGAGCACACATTGCTGTATGAGTTTATGCTAATATCACAGTTACAGCTGTTTCAACAGCTCATATGTTAATCTTACTGCATACCCTTCAACCAAATGGACATGTCTGAAAGTCTAAGTGGCGGGAGGAGGGGAAGGGTGGGTATCCTTACTGGAGAGAAGCAGTCTACGATCAATCAGGGAGTGCCACCATACTCTGTCAAGGCCATTGTCTGATCAGAATCTGGGGGATTGGCCACAGTCAGTACTGGAGGTTTGAGCAGTAAATGTGAAGGGTGTTATTGGTGGCAGTCCATGCTGTGTTGGGGAAAGTCACCAACTCAAGCATGGGATTTGAAGCAATTACAGTAAGACATATGGGGGACACTGGCTGGAAAGCAGGCAACTTCAAATATCAAGGTGAGACCTGATCCATAGGGATGGCATGGAGGACTTAGGGAGGAGATTTCCGAGCCCCCCCAGCAAAATCAGAAATTGAGTGAGATGAAAGTAGATGGCACAGTTGTTAGTGGCATTTCAGGAACTGGAAAAATCTGTGACCAGGGATAATTCATTTCACTCAAGTGGCCTGACTAACTGAGTAGAAAGTGCGGAGACCATGCAAGTTTAGTAATTTCGGAGGATGAGATGGGTGACAACCATTGATTGAAGGTGCTGCATACAATAGTGATAGACTGTGAATCTTGGTGGGAGGCATGTACAATGGCAAAGTTAGAATGAGTGTGAGGAATGGAGGAAAAATGGTGGCACTTACCCTTGCAGAGCACAAAAGGTCATTGACCTTCATTCTACATTACTGGGTGTTTGTTCTTGTTGGGGACAGTGCACTGATCTCAGTTGAGGTTGGCACTAGCTTATACCATTATCTCTTTTGGCTGTCAACAGGAAAGAGGTTGGCACTCCTCTTCACCACCCTGTCCATCAATACCTCCAGCTCCTTATCCTTGTACTGATGTGCCAACTTCCCTGCCTTGGCCACCTCCTCTATAATAATGGTCAAACATCAGACTTTCAGTAGCACATCCCAGCATAGAATGACATTAGGCCTGAAAGTCCTGGCAGTGGTGACATTTCTTTCTCTGCAACTGAACAATTCAACAAGAAAGGAGCCCACACACACAATTAATGAGGTGGGCAAAGAAGAGAGCATGAGAAAAATCTGCATGAAATTCCCGGAAAATGACACTTCGCCAAGTTATACGACGATTCAGCGCAGTATTTTTCATTGATGTGACATAAAATTGCATTTGTGCTTCCTTGAGAGAATGAAAACTGTATGTTTGAAAGAATGCACTACTTTTTTTCACAGGCTTTGCTCTACTACACCAAGGCATTGACCCAACCCAATGTAAAGATACAAAGGGCTGCTTGCACAGCGCTAAAATGCATTAAAGTAAGTGCCGCTTGTATCAAATCCACAATGTCATGATAATGATCATATAAATTACAGGATATTTTGACCATCATTTGTGTGCCAGATCCTCAACTGAAGTTATTCAACTTCTCTTTGCTGGCCATTCTCTACATCCTGTTTAAGTTCATGCCTTGCTTATATGTTTTCACCTCCCTTTTGAATTTTGGGACTATTTCCACGGCACAGTCGAATATGAAGAGGAAATTTAAATAGAGATTTTTAAAAGAATTTTGATAGTGTCAATTGGGAAAGATAATTTCCATTGTTTGGGGAGTCTGTCACCAGGGATAATTCATTTAAAATGATTGCCAAGAGCATGAAGAGAGATGTCAAAAAGAAATCTTCATACAAAGGACATTTGGAATAATTAGATAGATAGTCGAAACAGAGGAAAATGAAGGGATTGTTTTCAATTCACCCAGACAGTGAAGATTAATGCAGAAAAGGTCACCTCCAGCTGCTCATGTCATCGATGCCAGATGCCTGTTCAACCACGTTTGTGTTTGTGGTGCATGCCAACATCTCTCTGTAAGCTACCAACTCATGACTCTGAAATTCTCCCACCTAATTTTTCTATTTTTGGCAGCTCTGAATGCCCAACAACAACAACTCACAGTTAGGTAGCGCCATTAATGCAGAAACCATGCTTCCCTGGTGTGTGAGGAAGAAGCTGATAGCAAGAAAAGGAGATTAATGGGGTAACCATGAGTTCCATCAAAGTGGTTTCTTTTGAAGTTTTGAGGAGAGTTACAAGGGAGCAGTAGAAGATGGAGTGGTTCCCAAAATGAGTGATATTGAGGTCTGAGGGGATAGCCTTTAATGGATCATGACCCTTTAATTGAATATGATGATATTATATGTGGAATGATAGGTGCTTCCAAAAGAACTGGTTGATTATAAATACTGATCTAATCAATTTCAAATATTGCTCCCCCCCACAGGCTTGTGAAAGCATTGACATTCTGGTGAGTTTGTGCCAATCTGAGAGAGAACTCCTCCGGCAAGCCGCTGCTGAATCACTCCTCTCGCTAGGTGAGTGCTTTTCCATGTGGATGAGCCACATAGTGGCTAGATGTTCAATTTTTTGTTACAGTTTAGGCCAGCTAGTCCAATCAGTGCTCCAGCTGTCAGATTCCTTGTGTTGAGGCAACACCAAGGCGGTGAATGCAGTTGTTTGACAGCTCTCCTGACCCGGCTGGGAGGCAGCTATAGTAACCCGTGACGTTGCTCTTGCCACCCAAAGACCAGAACCAGAAGTATTAAACTGTCAAACCTAACCATTTCTTTTCGAACACTGTACTGCCTTTAGTGCAAATCTTCCCATGTTGACAAAATGAGAGACAGATTATGCAGGAATTGCCTGAGGTTTTATTTTCGTTTGAATCTAGTGCAGAAGATCACTGTATCCAACTGTTTTATTGCTTTTGTTATACAGACACAAAGCAGCATAAAAATCACATTCAACTGAGGTATATGATTAGTGCTTCAAAATGTTCCTTTTTTCATAAGACAGAGAGAAGTGAAACATAGTGAATTATTAATACTCAAATGACCTAGACCTCTTTCCCACCTGTCTTTTTAATTATTTTTTTTCTTCACTTAATGAAATTAAAGCTAAATTAAGATTGTACCTAGGGGAATGTAAAATTTTTTCAGCATTTTAGAATTGATACTATTCTGCCACAGAATGTACATTTGAACATTTTTCTTTTGCTAGTAAGTGTAAATGCAAAATTATGTTTAAAGCAGTAACGTGGCTCCAAAGTGTCTTCCTGCCAGCAATAACACTTCTTTGTTTACACTTTTCTTTCACTGTCCTGTCTCCCAGACACAAAAAGTAAATTCTTGAGCCTGGTATATGGAAGTCACTGAAGATAGGTTGCAATGAGCTGTATTAAATGTGGGCGGTATTTAAACATTTCCGCATCTTGCCACTCGCCTCCTGTTTTTTAAGTTCATTCAGGCTATGAGGGCTTCACTAGCTAGGCCAGCAGTTATTGTGTCTCCTTAATTGCCCTTGAGATGGTTTTAGTGAGCTGCCGTCTTAAACCACTGCATTCCATTTGCTGTAGATTCATCCACACTGCAGTTGGGGAAGGAGTTCCAGGATTTTGACCCAACAACACTGAGGAATGGTGATTAGTTAATGTGTAGCTTAGAGGGGAATTTGCTGGTGATGGTACTCCCATGCATGCCCTTTTAGGTGGCAGAGGTTGCAGGTTTGGAAGGTACTGGTGAAGGTACCCTGATGATTGGCAACGGTGAATTTTGTAGATGGTAGAAATTGCTGACACTGTGCATCAGTGATGGAGTCTTTTGCAGTCTTTATTTTAAGAATATTGACACTATCACATGAGCCAATGTGTGAGGAGCAGAGCTGGAACTTGAAATGATAAATTTAGCTTTCAAACTCATCCAAAAATACAGCAAATAGAGTGCCCCTGAGAACAGTAAAACTATTTTTCCAACAAAATATAGCAGTGGAAGGTTGTCACATAATGCAAATTATGCATAATATTG